AATGCATTTCATTATATCGCAGGCGATGATGAAATACTACCACGATAGTCGCAGTCGCTATGCGATCGCTCGGCACATTGGCCTTGCTTCCCGGATCGTCAGGTCTCGCGTCGTTCAAAGAGTCGACTACAGAAAGCTCTTATGGGATGCCGCACAGACTGCTTCTCAATCCGGTGCTAGGCCAACTGCGCTATGGTACTTCCGCCACTGTGTTGCTTTGCTTCAGGATAACCCCTGGGACGACAACAATACAGATGTCTACTACGACGAGACATTACGCCTACATATCGCCACGGCGGAGATGCTCTGGTCTCAGGGCCATCATACTGAGGCTCTGCGACTTCTCGACGAGGTTTTTGCCCATGGCAAGAGTGCCGTCTGCAAAGCAAGGGCTTGGATTGTGAAAGCCAAGATATATGCTCAGATGGGCAATCATTACAAGTCTATGAACTCGCTTCTCACGTGCCTGGAGGAACTGGGCGTCCACCTTCGGGAGCCTACTACTTACGAAGCTTGCGATGCTGCGTACGGCAATCTGAAGGCATACCTTGAGAACGCCGATCTGGAAGTCATTGTTCGCAGACCTAAGAGTAAGGATATTAACATGATCACCATCGGGGCTGTCATGGCTGAGGCAATGGCTGTGACCTATTGGGATGATGCGTTGACATTCTACCGGATGGCAATCGAGATGATGAACCTCCATCTCTTCAAGGGCGGGTTCGTGCAAATTTCGATTGGCTGTTCCCATCTCTCGATGATTTCCTTCAGTCGTTTCAGAGACCTCGAGTTTGCCGCCAAACTCAATGAGTGTGCATTGACCCTCTTGGACTGTTGTCCGGAGCCATGGACTCAGCGTAGGGGCACAATCGTCCACAATCTCTACATCAGCCACTTGCGAGTCCCAATGCCGTCCACACTTCCAGTGCTCGAGACGTCTGTTGAAGCCTCCTTCACGATGGGCGACCCTTACATCACACTGATCAGTCTGTCATCGATGGCGATGACCAGACTGTGGCTGGGACACGACATGGGTCAAGTTGAACAGTTCTGCACCGAAAGTCCTGACGATATTCCGGATTGGTCCAAGGACACGCGGGGAGGCGCCAGTCTTTTAGCTGTCCGGTAAGTCTTTTGTGCATGTGACTAGTATGAGTGCAACACGGGCTGACGAGATAACTACAGACAAGCCTCTCGCGCTCTTCAGGGAAAGACATTCTATCGTAACCCCAACACTATCATGGATGACGAGCACCATAGTACTGACGAGTACATTGCCTTCTTAAACACGAATGCCAGTAACGCTGATCGTCCTCGGGACATCTACTGGGGCTTAGCTATGATACCCCTTTTCCTATATGGACATCACACGAAGGTGATAGAGACGGGAATGTCGATGATGGACACAATTCCTAGGCTCTGGTCTGCTCGCGTTGGATATGTGGTCTACTTTTACTTAGCTCTATCTTTACTGACACTCCACAACGATTTCCCCGCGGGTGGATATATGGACGGTGACAACCTGAAGACGGTGTTGAAGTATAAGGCGGAGGTTGATTTTGCCCGAAGCGCCTGCGATGCCAATTACGGCATGTGGTCATTGATTCTTGAAGCCCTGATCTCCGAAGTCCGAAATGACCATACATCCGCCATTCAAGCTTTCGAGGTGAGTTTGCAGAGGAATGACCGATCAGGAGGATGAGGTGAAAGTTGACTTGAAAATTAGGCTGCGATTGATCACTGCCAAATTCACGGCTGGCCAATGGAGGAGGCCTTGGCTCTTGAACTACATGGTGAGTGCACGTATTGCTGGTTTTTGGGTTCCATCTCTGTCTGACTTTGCTACTATCTCCAATGGATTCTGACGTCAATTCTTTCTGCAGGTGAATTTCTAATCAGGCGCGGCGCCAAAAGAGCAGCGCGTTCTGTGATGCAGGACGCGATAGCCGCGTGGGCCGCGATCAGCGCTGTTGGGAAAGCATCACAACTGACAGAGAAACACGAGTGGCTTTTGAAAACAGCAACATCCTCCAGATGTGCTGACGTCGGTGTTCAGACCGTTGACTCGCTTCTTGGTATCGAGCGGAACACAGCCCAAGAAGACATGAATATCTCTCAAGACGTGGAGAGGGACGATAGAAAACATCGTTGGATTGAGCAGAATGGAGTCACTGCGGGGGAGCGTTCGCTCGATATCTCTAGTGTTGGGCTGGGTAAGACCACTAGGCCACTTCAGCCAGAAGTTATTATGTACTAATGTCTCGCTAGATATCATCGATTTGTCTAGCATCCTCGAGTCGAGCCAAGTGATGTCCTCTGAACTTCAGATTGATAAACTGCTCACCAAGATGATCGAGATCGTGTTGGAATCTTGCAACGGATCCGATTTTGCTGTGATTGCAACGGATTTTGACGATAACGGCTTCGCAGTCGCCGCAACTGGTGACCTGGAGAAGGGACAGAGGTCCTTCGTCGATGGTCTTCCCCTGTCGGAGTTCGACGATAAAATGGCACAGCAGATCTGTCACTATGTGATTCGCACGAAAGAAGAGGTTCTTGTCCACAATTTCCTCGAGGACGATCGATTTTCCAACGCCAGCGAGGCCTATCAGAACAAACATCCCATGGGAAGGTCTGTCATTGCACTGCCTATTATGCAGGCAGACCACCTCCTGGGCGTCATTCATATTGAAGGCAAGCCGAACTCTTTCACTCAACGCAATGTTGTAGTGCTTCATCTGCTCTGCAACCAGATTGGCATCTCCTTGGCCAATGCTCTGCTCTTCCGTGAAGTCCGCAGAGTTAGCGCCACAAATGCAGCTATGATTGAAGCACAGAAGCGTGCCCTCGCGCAGGCTCGTGAGGCGGAGCATAAAGCCAAGGTGGCAGAAGCAGAAGCCAAGCACAACGTGAAACTGAAGGAGGATGCCGCCAGAGCCAAGTCCATCTTCCTAGCCAACATCTCCCATGATCTCCGGACGCCAATGAACGGTGTTATTGGTTTGTCGGAACTCCTCAAGGGAACAAACTTGAACAAGGAACAGGATGAATACGTCGAGTCTATACGAGTCTGTGCTGATACACTCCTTACGCTCATCAACGACATCTTAGACTTCTCGAAGTTGGAGGCAGGAAAAATGAAGATATCGACTGTTCCTCTCAACGTCAAAGAGACCATTTCCGAAGTCGTGCGCGCTTTGCGCTACACGCACCGGGACCGCGGCCTCGTGACTATCGAAGACCTGGACAAAGTTCCACCAGATCTCGTGGTTCTGGGGGATCCTGTCCGTTTACACCAAATCTTCATGAATCTCTTGAGCAACAGCTATAAGTTCACGCCAAAGGGATCCATTACCGTCCGAGCCAAGGTCTCACGGGAGGGCAAGAATCGTGTGCGCCTGGAGTGTGCGGTGTCTGATACTGGAATTGGTATTCCTGAGGAGCAAAAGTCGCGTCTTTTCAAGCCCTTTTCGCAGGCCGACAGTTCCACGGCAAGGTCGTACGGTGGTAGTGGACTGGGACTTAGCATATGCAAGGCCATTATTGAGGATGTCCTCGGCGGAGCGATCTGGCTGGATTCGACTCCTGGTGTTGGCACCACAGTGACCTTCCACCTGTCATTCAACAAAGCCAAGGATTCTGTGACGAAAGCGCCATGGTCAAACGGCTCTGCCGTTGGGGAGAATCAGGTGGCACGTCGACCGATGGCGCGTGATTTAACCATGATCCCTCGCGATCAGATCCGTGTTTGTATTGCTGAAGACAATCCCATCAACCAGAAGATCGCCGTGAAATTTGTTACCGGTCTTAACTTGCAATGCGAAGCGTACAGCGATGGACGCCAGGCAGTTGAAGCTCTGCGGGCACGCTCTCAGGAGGGCAATCCGTTCCACGTGGTGCTGATGGACGTGCAGATGCCTACTCTGGATGGCTACAATGCGACTCGTGAAATCCGCAAGGACCCAGATCCCGACGTGAACGAGGTTCTCGTGATTGCCATGACTGCCAGTGCCATCGAGGGGGATCGCGAGAAGTGCATTGAGGCCGGAATGAACAATTACTTACCTAAGCCGGTCCGCTCTACGGTTCTTAGTGAGATGCTTGACAACTATCTTGCGCCTGCGCCAACGTACACCAAGACTCGCCTGGCAATGCGTGCTAGAGGGAGCATCAGCTCCGAAGTCGGCACTCCAAGTAGTACGTCGTCATCCGGTTCTGAGCCGGTGATTGCAGTGACCCCGAGGACGAGAAGATACCCGGCAGGTCCAGTCGGGCGTGACCCAGTCCATCTCGTTCAGGTTCCATCGTACCAGTTTCTTTCGAGTGAATCTTGGTATGTCTGGGTGAAATGCCCCTTTTTTTTCGGTTCCCGGTATGACTATAATCTGCAATGTGCTTGACCGTGTTTCATGGGGGTTTCGATTCGTTAGACCAGCGCTTGCCTACCTGTACCTGAAGAGCACCATGGCTGCATTCCTACTTTTTACCCTTATTTTTTTATTTTATCTATTCCATGTGATGATCACGAACGCTACGACTCACGATATTTGCGTTAAGGGTGAAATTGCCTGCCACGCGAGCGACTGTTAGAATTATCTGGCCACCATTCTTGCTTGCATTCTTCCGCCTTCCTCTTCGATGCAGTATTTTGTGATGCCTATGGCTCCTGTGTCCGAAAAGAGTCCTGTCACCCGAGACTGAGCCATTCTCAATTGCTGCATCATCACCCTTTTCTTTTCTTCAATTTCATGTTCGGGGTGCCTTTGTTTCTTCGCGTTGGCGCTCAATATTCCCCGAGGTTTGAATTGCAATTCTGAAAACGGATACACGGCTGTCAATAGGTGTTATTGTTTTTAGGTCTTCAGTTCTCATTCAGGCAGGGTTGTTCCAATTTCCGGTTTCTCGTTCCATGCTTTTGTACCAGGATATAATAGAGCGTAAGGAAGTATTACTCCTATTGGAAGGCTTGCCTGTGAAGATTTTTTTTATTCAAGACTATGTACAATGAAGGCAAGATATTTAGACAAAACTGTGGACCGTTTCCACCCCACAAAGCAGGATCGATCAGCATGGAGTCGATGCGATTACAGCTTAGGGGCGGTTGGCTCTACGACCGAAGATACGGAACCGCTTGACACCACCGTCGGGGATCAGGGTCAACTTGACGTGTGTGAAGGTGCGGGTGTCCTCGCCACCAGCAGCGAGTTCAGCACCCTCGTACACATGCTCGGTATCCGCCTTGCAGAACTTGTCGGCGCTGAGCAGGGGGATCCAGCCCTGATGATCGTGCGCAGGCACCTCGCCGGCCGCCAGGGTGCCCTCGAGTAGACCGTGCACCCGCACGGCGCGCGGGAAGTTACCGCGGAAGTCCTTGGTGTCGACGACGATCTTGGCAACCGAACCGGGGAGACCCAGCTGGAAGATGGCCCAGTCGGTGTAGCCTGGGATGCGCGACCGCGCGGTCTCCCAGCCATCGCCCATGTCCTTGCCCCGGCCAGGAAGTATCAGGTTAGAGATGGGCGTGTAGTGCTGGTTGGATGCTGACAAGGCCAGACCGCCCAGCAGCGCGGAGGAGAGTTCCTCGGTGGGGGCTTCTGCGGAGTCGGCGTTCGTGGGGCCGGGGGAGGGATCGCGTGGCCGTAGAGACGGAGACGGGCGAATCCGCCATCGGGGTACATCAGCAGGCGGACGTGGGTGTAGGGCTTGGGATTGGCGGGGTCGTAGTCGCTGAGTTTCCAGGCGCGACGCTGCGATGGTCCGCAAGGCTGACGGGGTAGAATGGTGGTCCAGCCGTTGAAGCTGGGGTCGGCGATCTGCTCGTCTGTGATGCCGCTGTCGGCGGGTGCGTAGGTCCCCTGAAGCTCGGCCTTCTCGCCATAGTTGCCATGGAAGAAACCTGTGTCCACTTCGACGCCCTGGATGGCGCCGCTGGCGACACCCAGCTTGATCACGACCCAGTCATAGGGGTCAGGGTTGTGCCGGCGAGTTTCCCAGCCATCGTACCAGGCGCCGGTGTGCACGAAGACACCAGGACGGTTGATGGGAGGAGTCGGGGTGAGCAGGTTCGAGGCTGCGGCGAAGAACTCATCGGAGCAGGCGAGGATTTTAGTATTGAGACCCGACGAAGCCAGGTTCGTGGTGTGCGCGAAGACCTTGTCGATCTCCTCCGCGGGGACATAGGTGACCTTATCGGACGTCATAGTAGTGGTGGTGGTAGGATAGCTGGGTTGAGGTTCTCGATGGTGTTGCTGGATTGAAGTAGAGGAATTGAGTGCGCAATTGAACTTTGCAATTCAGTTGTCCTTGTAACTCCAGTCTGGTTTGATCATTGTCTTCTTATCGCAGCTGGAGACGCCCTTTAAATAAGTGTGGCAGAGGATGAGGGGGAAAAAGAAGTTGCCCGATAACTGGCGATAAGCCCCGCAGGCCACCTATACACCGTGTTTGCCTCAGGTAATCATTACTCGATCTCATCGAGTGATCTTCTTCTTTCTCCTTCTTCTGTCTCGCAGTTCTCTAGTCTCATTCTCCTCAGACACCCAAATCACCTCACTTGAGTCTCTGCTGTCCTATTCCATCCACTAAGCCGCCTTACGGCGCCATTTCCCGTTACCAAATCGCAATCACCTGCACTTCTGTCGCTATTCCCAACGTTCCCGCTCATCCCCAATCGAGTTATACTGGTTCGTGCCCCACTGCCCCGGAATTGTACCCTTCGGAGGTCTCCGATCATCGCAGCATTCCGCAGGAACTGGATCGTCACTTCATGGATTGCATAACTGGTCTGGTGGCTAACATGGGAAGACGCCATGAGTCACCATTTTGCTGGCATTTCGAAGAACCCGGAGCATGGCGACAGCGCTCAAAAATTCCAAGACTTTTGCTGCACGTTCGGGAAAAATGCCACAGATGTGATGGCCGAGTTTCACAGAAAGCGTTGAGGAGCTTTGTGCTTCCGGCGGTGACACTTTCCAATAGCTTGAGTTGAGGCTCCCTCGCGCGCCGATGTGACTTGAGAGTGCAACTGCGCTGCACATGTTACTGTTGCAGAAGTGGGAGCTGCTACAATGGCACATGTACGACGTCTACGCATGGACTTGGATAATTTGCTGTAGAGCTTGGGATAACGCCTTTGCCACAGATCTTTCAAGCCTTCACGGTTGCCCGACTCTTCCGAGCGATTGGAAACACGTGGGAGAGATCATTGCCAATGAAGAGTCATATTATCTTTCTAAGCTGAACAGGTAGGACACCAAACGAGCTATGCGCAATGCTCCAATTCTAAGATGAACGCCGGTAATGCATGGTCACGCTCCCATAACTCCCTGTGATAATGCTTGATGCATGCCATTTTGACAGCAGGGACGACCCTCGGCCCATATCAACCTCCGGACACCTCAACCTCCTGTTGTCTTGGTCGCCAGTTCCTCAAGTCGCTTGTATCGCCATTCATATTGTGCCAACTGCTTCTTTTCCGCCGGCGACAGGCATTTCCCTTTGTCCGCCATCTCCTTCTCCACCTGCTTGAGCATCTCCCAGCGCTTGAGAATCCGGGCCTGATGCTCAGATATAGATGCCAGGTTGGCGTCTTTCGAAGCCATGCGTTCCTCGATGGTGGAATGGTAGGACAATTTGGCGTGGAACAGTGCCATATCCGACTCGTCGTACTTGAGGCCTCGTGCTTCGGGCAGAGAGTTGGAATGACTGCCTTTGGACGGCATTATGGACACTTGCGATTGTCAGGCACGTTCAAATGCTCTCGGCGGGATCTGCGAGGCGTATATCGGGTGCTTGTAAGGCTTGTAATGTTTTGAGATCGACCAGTCTATTCGATGCAGGCTACTGTGCGAAGCGCACTAGTGAGGTAGGGATGAGAAAGATAGTGAGTTGAGAAGAAGCTTGCTTGGGATGGGAGGTGGCGATTTCTCTGACCTCACTGCTGCCCTGCGAGAGTGCCAACCTTTTATTATTGAAGGGATCTAATAATCCCTTCTATGTTTTGGCGGATACAGACGACCTTTATAGAACCGCAGTCGTTCAGGCATGTCTTTCAAGGTGATACTAAGGATGCCACAGAACGCACATTTGCCAATAACGCGGCGCAACAGAACACCGGAGAAAAGATGGAAAGGTTCCATGCCTTGAAACTCCCTTTGTCTCTGCCAAAGGAAGTACCCACTTCGTTTGTCCCGTCATCCTGTGATTATCGTGGAAGTCCAATCCCACCGCTCCATCAGGAAGGCGTTTGTTCCTCATTTGATCGGACTGTGACACCTTGAGGATACCACCGGCGCAACCAGGGGCGGTCTGCAGAATTGCGCTGGTCAAATTGCAGTCTTCTGTCGTCTTCTCTCTGAGACAGAGTATTGAGTCGGTGAAGAAGCTCGCAGTGCTGAGGAACGGACCACATCTGCAATGGTGACGGCAAATATAACATTTCATAGCTACTTCGATGACTGTTGCTTGCATATGTGGTGAGCTGCAAACACTTACTAGCATTGGTCCGCCGAATAAAGCCAGCCGACTCGGTTGTTAGCCATGCGATCCGATTGTTACACACAGACCGGGGCTATCTTCCAAGAACAACAATGGAAGTTCTCTTCTCGACCCCTGACGGTCTAAGTGCTCTCAGAAAGGAGAAAATAGGGCGAACTTAACCGCAGGTGGCCGTGTTATTAGGCGTAGACGGAAACTCAATCGATCATGATCATGGCTTCGCGAGACAAACGCACAGGGATATCGACCCAGAACATTCCTTTACCCCGCCATCAGGGACGTTTGATTCGCTCTCGAGCCCGTTTAGCTTCCCGTTGAGCGTTGCTTAACACCCCGTTCCGGACTTGGTCTGCAGGCAGCCGTTAGATGCGTTGTTGTGTCACATTCGAGTCATGGTCGTATGGACAAGTGATACTCTTTAGACGCCCTCTTCAATAGGGGATATTCAACGTGCCTCCACGTCGGATCCGAATTCGGGAATATTGGCAGTGGCATTTTACAGTAGAACTGCCGCACTCGTTTCACTTTAGGGGAAACCTGACAAAGACTGACTGAGTTTAACCAGGCACACTAACAACGCCCAGCAAGTCGAAAAACGAGTCATTACGGTTTACTTACACCGCAATATCTACATCTTCAACTGTCAGACGCAATACATACTCACCCGAAGTGCTACACCCGGCAACGGGCTCCTTGCGTATGCTGTGCAATCGAATCTCCAGGTTCAAGCTTCTAAAGAATATATGACATGGTCTACTGCGGTGGCGCTGTTGCCCTTGTTGAGTCGGTATTGGAATATGTCGGTAGATGCAGAGTTATCTTGGATGTACGTCGGTGTGGCAGCGGCCGTGGATGATGTTTGCTTCCAGGTGAGTATGTGGTGTTATTTATAGCACAAGGGGTATACCTATCCTTGTCGAGGCGGTCAATGTTGGATTTGAGGATTGCCTTGAACAGGGAAGTACGTAGTTTACTGGCACAAAGCTGGTTATATAGCCGATCATCATATCATGAGACTCGTAGAAACCAAATGCACGGATCGAGGTAGATACAGACGTAACATATATATCGCATAATGATGTTTAGTGTCGCACCTCCTCATCCCGAGTGGCCGCTGCCCTCTCCTTCTTCGCCTTCTGGATGTCCAAAGACATCTTGACGGGCGCCATGCCCGGCGTCTCGAACACGGCGTCGATTTCTTCGAGAGACAGCCTAGATGTCTCTGGGAAGACGAAGTACGACAGAACGAGTTGGATACTGTTGTAGACGATATAGACCACCCAAATCTTGTAACCGAGCTTCTGGATTCCAACACTGATACCGTATGTTTGGACGGCACCCGCGCCGCCCTGGATCAGCCCGTAGAGACCCATTCCCTTGGCACGGAGCGGCAGAGACAGGATCTCAACGGGGTACAGGTTGTGCATGGTGGCAATCAGCATAGCGGAGAAGGTCTGGTAGAGGTAGATCCAAAGGATAGTCAACGCAGCGGCTGCCTTGTTTCCCGTGACATCAAACTGCCAGGAGGTAATTGTGGCGGCAAACTGGAAGAGGATCATGGTTGCGAGGCCCGTGAAGATCAACGTCCGCCTTCGGAACTTGTCTATGATGAGCGCCCCTACACCGGTAAACACGAAGTAGACGGCTGTGGTGCCGAGCTGGATACCAAGTTGCTGCTTCGAATTCTTGATTCCGATTGTTTCCAGAGCGGGGACCATCTGCAGTGGCACAATGTCAGTTGAGAAGCCAAGACCTCGCGGCCAGTCCAGAGGCCATAGGGGTGACTTACGTAGTACGTAATGATACCTCCGCCATTCCACTGCTGGAAGATGGAGTAGAGGAAGAGAACAAGGAGTCGGAAGCGGGCCATCTTTGTGAAAAAGACCCGGTAGTCCCAGAACTGATTGAAGCCTGTCCGGTCATGCTCAAGAGACGCCTCAATCTGCGATACGACGATCTCAACAATGGGCTCATTGATATCGCCGCTGGTCGTGTGGTACCTTGCAACCATTTGCTTGGCAGCGTCTCTCCTCCCGCGCATGATGTAGTAACGGGGCGATTCGGGGGTGAGGAGGTAGATGGTAGCACAGACTATCGCGGGAAAGACGGCTTCCAGAAGGAGTGGGAGTCGCCAGCTCCAGTTCCCTTCTATCTTGGTTAGTCCGATCATGGCCCCGTTCATAGCCAGACTGCCTATCTGGAAACATGCACCAAAAATGCCGACGATTAAGCCACGGAGGTGGGTCGGGGCGACCTCGCCCACGTATTGAGAGCTGGACAGGAGTGCAGACCCGAATCCCAGGAGGAACCGGGCCGCCATGAACATTGAGAGGTTCACAGCGCAGCCCTGGAGGACCGCGCCCACGATCACAATGAAGTTGCCGAGAAAGTTGATCCCCCGTCGACCGATTATGTCCGCCAACGACAGGAACGGGGCCCCACAGACGATGCCAATATTCATCAAGGCGTTGAGCAAGCCGTATGTGCCTCCGCTAGTTCCAAATCCAAAATAGGTATGCCATGCTGGCAAGGCATTGATGCCACTGATAACGGCCCAGTCAATACCATAGCCAGCTTGGTTGCATCCTTGGACGAAGATGATCAAGAATAAGCGGAAACCAGTCCAAGACCGAAGATCTAGTGCTTCCTGGGAGATCCTAAAGACATCCTCCTCGGTCAGGTTGGCAAGCACGACTTCTTCAATATGTGCTTCATCCTTCTTCACCTCCAGTTCGCTCTCATGTGTGGCCGTGACATCGATCGGGTTACGCATTATGAAGGGCTCAAGCACTCACTGGACCAAAGGCCTTGTGAGACAAACGAAACTCCCTTGAGATGGATGACTAAAACAGCAAAGAGAAGAAGAATAAGGCACTGATGAGGATACGGCCTCCTTGACTGGCCTACTGGGGTCACACCACTATATGAGATTGTCGCCGATCATGTCGGTCGGACGCTGCTTGTGCGACAAACACAAGTCGAACCCCCACCCTATTAGGCCCTTGCTCCTCTTTCGACACGGAGTTGGTATGGTCGAAAGAATAGTGGTTTGAATGGCACCAGTAGACAGTCCATGGATAAAGCTCGTGTATTTAGCCGCAGAGTGCCAATATCATGGCTAAGATAGGCCCGTCGCTAGATTCCTAGAATGCCAATCATGACCTGTTTGCGAGGTTGGCCATGATCGTTTGCTGATTGTGGCTGGTAATTTTCCGCCATTGAGGTGCCTCCCTTAACCTCGATGGAGAGCTAATGGACAACACGAGACGAATCCGCTCGCGTCTCTAGCAGTCTAGATGGCTAGTGCTGTACTCCTCGAAGCTAAAAAGGCATTTTTTAGCTCATTTTAGCTAGAAACAAGGGCTTCGGCTGTCATTCATGATCCGGGGGAATTCTAACCTGGGGTAGAAACCGTAGAACACGGTCTTGGGGGGTTTGAAGCAGACCATGGCCATCTTGTGTACGGTGTATATCTTCCCGGAGCAGATATTCGAAATCTAGGCGCTGAACTCGTATGGAAGACAGCAAAGACCGTCGATAACAAGACGAGGGACTTGGTCGGATGGTGGAGGGCTGGAGGCACATGACCGGTTCCTGTTGCATCGTCTCTTGGGACTTGGGAACCTGGGCATCCTTTTCTCTCAAATTCTCAATCCTGCTTTGTTGACATTGACAGTTCCCCGCTCGGATTCACACCTGTTTGGGTTAGGATAATGTCTTCTTATTCGTTTCCTTCTCCAACGGACAATTCTCCGCATTTCGCTAAAACCTTTAGCGTCGATAGCTTGTTGTCCTAGTGTTCTAGCCATGGTTATCTGATCTTTCCACCAAACAGACACGGTTCGCGGCCCGACGCAACCGACATGGGTCTGTCACCGGGATAGATCCACGGCCACGATCAAGGTCAACACTCTTTGATTAAACAAGATGACTGGCCGTTCGGTTGGATATTACACGCCATGATGTCGGAACTCTGGTACCAGCAGCCTGCTAGCAACTGGGAGGAAGCGTTGCCAGTTGGCAATGGCCGTCTGGGCGCCATGGTCTATGGGCGAACTGATACGGAGATGCTACAGCTCAATGAGGACTCGGTTTGGTATGGAGGTCCCCAGAATCGTGTTCCTCGTGATGCATTTGAGTATCTCCCACGTCTCCGGTCTCTGATCCGAGAGGGAAACCACGCAGAGGCGGAGAAGCTGGTTCGTCTGGCCTTCTTCTCTCATCCCATTAGTCAACGGCACTACGAACCCTTGGGGACTCTGTTTCTGGACTTTGGCCATGCCCCTGAATATACGCAAAACTATCGACGGTCGTTGGATATTGAGCGTGCTACCAGTCGTGTGGAATATGAGCACAAAGCCGTAAAGGTTCGACGGGACGTCATCGCCAGCAACCCCGACGGTGTCATTGCCATTCGAGTCCAGGCATCTCAGAAAACGGAGTTTGCCTTGCGGCTCACTCGAATGAGTGAGCTGGAATACGAAACAAATGAATATCTTGACGATGTCACGGCAGAATGCCGGACAATTACCATGCATATCACCCCCGGTGGACACAAGAGCAACAGAGCTTGTTGCATGGTCAAAGTTCGCACAGCGGATGATCAAGATTCTGTCACTCAAATCGGGAACAAACTGCTGGTCAATGCTCAAGATGCGCTGGTGCTAATCTCAGCGCAAACCACTTACCGTTGCGATGACATAGACAAGGAGGCTTCTTCTGATTTGGAAACTGCTTTGCTGCACTCTACTGACGAGATCTGGGAGCGACATGTGAACGACTACCGATCACTCTATGGTCGCATGGAATTGCACCTGAGTCCCGACAACTGTGACATGCCAACTGACAAGAGAATCAAGAACTCGCGTGACCCTGGTCTGATAGCAGTCTACCATAATTACTGTCGCTACCTCTTGATATCGTGCAGTCGGAATGAGGACAAAGCTTTACCAGCGACGCTACAGGGCATATGGAACCCGTCTTTCCATCCAGCCTGGGGATGTAAATACACGATAAATATTAATCTGCAAATGAACTACTGGCCGGCAAATGTCTGCAATCTTTCCGATTGCGAGATGCCGCTATTCTCTCTACTAGAGCGAGTTGCGAAATCAGGAGAGGAGACAGCACAGAAGATGTACGGCTGCCGTGGCTGGGTGGCTCATCACTGCACCGATATTTGGGCTGATACTTCTCCTGTAGACACATGGATGCCAGCAACTCTTTGGCCTCTAGGAGGTGCTTGGCTCTGTGTCCATATCTGGGATCATTTCCGTTTCACCTGCGACAAGGAATTCCTCCAGAGAATGTTTCCAATCTTGCAAGGATGTGTGCAATTTCTTCTTGATTTCTTGGTTGAAGATGCATCTGGAGAGTATTTGGTCACGAATCCGTCACTGTCGCCCGAAAACACGTTCTATGATAAAAATGGAGGGCGCGGTGTCCTGTGCGAAGGCTCCACCATCGACATTCAAATTGTGAATGCCGTTCTGAGCGCTTACCTGAAAAGTGTCGAAGAGTTAGAGATAGAGGCTAAGCTTGCGTCCGCAGCATTAGACGCCCTGCATCGACTTCCACCCCTGCGCATCGGATCTTTCGGGCAATTGCAAGAATGGGCTTCGGACTATGCGGAAGTAGAGCCCGGGCATCGGCATGTCTCCCACCTGTGGGCCTTGCATCCTGGAGGTACCGTCAGCCCGGAAACAACGCCCAAAATAGCCGACGCCTGCTCGGTCACGCTGCACAGACGTGAGGCCCATGGAGGCGGTCATACCGGCTGGAGTCGCGCATGGTTAATCAATCTGCATGCACGATTACTGGCATCTGAGGAGTGTGCGAAGCACGTTGATCTCTTACTGGCGCAATCAACCCTGCCCAACTTATTGGACACTCACCCACCGTTCCAGATCGACGGTAACTTTGGCGCCGGCGCAGGTATCCTGGAGATGCTCCTTCAATCCCATGAGGAGGGAATCATTAGGCTCCTTCCCGCTTGCCCGAGAGCCTGGAGTTCTGGGTCTCTTCGGAACGTCTGCGCTCGTGGAGGGTTCAAGTTAGATTTCGGCTGGGAAAATGGTCAGATAAAGGATGCCGTGGATGTCTACTCGGAATTTGGCCTTAAAACAGTCCTTTACTTTCCTAACAATGGACCTCGGATCGAGATCCAAGGCAGAGGATTTCATAGTATTCAGCCTTGACTTTCGCACAGTGCGTGTGGCTATATAGCTATGAAGAAGCTCGACTGTCTCTTTAATCGTAGTAACGACATACAATCAGAAACCTAGGCACTGACAGCTGGCACATCCTCCTCGCCTGCCTTCACAGACATTCTCAGGGGCCAGGATGGCTTCTCAGGTGGGATGGAGCGCCAACGCCCGTGATCTGTCCCCTCCCCAATCCTTCATCACCATAAGACAGCGTAGCGTCGTTTAGATCTGGTCGGGGAATCAGATACATCGTCCTCCCTTCGACTGACTTGTAAGGTTTCAATGAGTGATCTGATGTATGATACATCGTTTATTCCCCCTCTTTGGAGACCCCACTTGGTCGATGCCCAGATGGATTTATCCAGCAATAACGAGACAGAATGGTGAAGTACATCAGCCCGTGGAGGAGCTAATGTTTCAATTTAGCCGGATATCTTCATAACGTTCAGCCAACTTAATCGAATAAACCTTCCAAATTGTCACGAGAACCGAGGACGGAGTCTGGTATTCAATCGCCTCTGAATTAAGCCTTTCATTTACGAGTTCTTCTGACCTGAGTCTATACTGGCTTAAACTATCTAGAAACATACCACCAAAAGGTCTGGAGCGGCGAGACATGGACCTGCAATCCGTTCAAGATCTCAAAGGGGTCTTGAGGAGCGACTTCTTCCATGGTTACGCCACCGCGGCGGCCCAGGTTGAAGGAGCTTGGAATAAAGACGGTAAAGGCCAATCAATCTGGGATACTTTTGCGCACACACCCGGTAAGGTAAAGGACGGAAGCACTGCTGACGACGCGGTGCGCTCGTACGACCTGTACAAGGAGGATGTGGCGCTTATGAAGTCGTATGGGGTCAATGCATATCGCTTTTCCCTCTCTTGGTCCCGAATCATTCCTCTTGGAGGATGCGACGACCCCGTCAACGAAAAAGGGATTGAATACTATTCGAATCTCGTTGACGAGCTGCTCCGTAATGGCATCACACCGTTTGTCACCCTCTTCCACTGGGACACACCGCAAGCCCTGGAGGATCGCTACGGCGGCATGCTGAACCAGAAGAAGTTCGTGCCAGACTTTGTCAATTACGCTCGTGTTTGCTTTGAGAGACTCGGCGATCGCGTCAAGCACTGGATCACATTCAATGAGCCCGGTGTCTATACGCTGGCTGGATATGCAGCGGGCGTCCACGCACCGGGTCGCTCTTCATTCCGTGACCGCAACGAGGAGGGCGACTCGTCCACCGAGCCATTCATCGTTGCGCACACGGAGCTGGTCGCCCACGGACATGTATCCCATCTCTACAAGCAGGAGTTTCAGCCCCATCAGCAGGGGACCATCGGCATCACGCTTCACGGGAACTGGTCCGAGCCATGGGATGAAGCCGACCCGCTGGATCAAGAAGCCGCCGAGCGTGCGCGCGAGTTCGAAATTGCCTGGTTCGCAGACCCACTCTACAAGACGGGTGACTATCCGGCCTCGATGAGGGCGCAGCTGGGTGACCGTCTGCCCAAGTTCACGCCGGAGGAGTCGAAGCTGGTGCTTGGGAGTTCCGAGTTCTACGGCATGAACACGTATACATCGTTCTTTGTCAAGCACAAGACCACACCTGCGGATATCAACGACCACAAGGGGAATGTGGAGATCCATGATTTCAACATACAGGGTGTTCCTCGAGGCGAAGAGAGCGACACGGAGTGGCTGCGGGCTGCTCCCTGGGGCTTCCGAAAGCTTCTGAATTGGATCTGGTCTCGGTATCAGATGCCCATCTATGTGACAGAGAACGGGACGACAGCCAAGGGCGAGACGGCACCTACACCCGGTGTTCTCAACGATCAGTTCCGCATCAGGTTCTTCGAGGGATATGTTGGGTGGGCACTAGCTCGTGCGGTCAAGGAGGACGGGATTGATATCCGCTCCTATTTTGCCTGGACATTCACTGATAACTGGGGTAAGCTTTCTGTCTCGTGTGAAATTGCAATGCTAATAGTGGTACAGAATGGGCTGCGGGCTATACCGATCGGTTCGGGTGTACCTTTATCGACTTTGATTCACCAGAGAAGACTCGGTACCCTAAGCAGTCTGCTTATTACCTTGACAAGCTGTTCGAGCATTTGATCAAGGACTCTTAAGCGTTTCCGCATGCCAATGGAGGAATAGACCTTTGCACACTAAGTAGAATTGAACGATGTATGACGGACATTGGAAGACAGAACTCAGGATACATACAGTCATAGAATGGATGCATTTACGTCTCACAAGGCAAGCGACTATTGTACAGAACCAACATTGCCATGACCATGCCATTCCAAACGCACAACGCCGGTATTTGTCCAGTGCATATCCGTACCAAGCCAGCCAGCCATCCCGCTATTCCAGACAACGCCAGCAGATCAAGTTGATCGCAATTCGACAAAACGCTTGCAACAGCGTCAGTATTCATCCAACATCTTAAGAAGGTGCTGAGCTCACAATCTCACAAGTCCCTCAGAATGACAAACCCAAGCCCCAGCCTGCCTGCCCTCAGTTCAAGTAACGCGGGATCCGGCCTAAGCTCCGCCGATTCTCATCCGAGCGAGGCAGCAAAGGCACCTCGAAACGCACATGATGCTGGCCGCCCTGCGCCGCACTGGCACTGGCGTTTGCATTCGCATTCACATTCCCCACCGAAGACCGCAAAATTGAGCTGGGAAAGTACGCAGTTGAAGGCTGTCGCTGACCAGCGGGACGTTTCGTGAGCGGCGCAAACTCACGCAGGAACATCTCCCATGGATCCTCAGGGACCTTGTCGCCGTCACAGACCTTGCCTTGGAGGACGCAGAGGCGGTACATGTTTCTTTCGAGGTTGATCCAGTCCACGCCGTAGGGTTTGTGGGTGATGCCGGTGGAGATGTCGGTGTTGGACCAGAAGATGTGCGAGAGGGTGGTTAGGATCTTCTGGCGTTCTTGCTCTGCGTTGGCCATTTTGGATTATTGCTTTATGGGGTTTGATTGAAAAGAGATGAGGTCTGGAGGGTTGCAAGGGCAGGCTGAGGTGAGGAGATGGAGCTGGTAGAGAAGTGTTAAAGAATTTCTGCAGGCATGGTGTTGATTATTCAGGTTTGTATGCAGTGGTTGTTAGGAGGAGGCAGGAGGAGGCAGGAGGGAGGTGTTGTAGGGTGATATAGACGCGAGGTTGGACGCGAGGTGCACACAGGATATCAACAAACATGAGATAGTGAATGCTGTAGGGCTTGGATAGGGCATGACGTTGTTTGTAGTTGTGTGCGATGACAGTGAATTATAGTGATGGATGGGGGCCATATTCGCCTGTTTTGGAGTATACTAGACATAGCGTGACTATCATGGATGACATAAGGTGGGAGAGAGGTAGAGTTCCCAGAAATTCAGGAACAGATATTAGTCACTCAGGTGTCAGAACTCTTTGCAAGTTCAAGAATAATGATGAAGCTATAACGCTGTCAGGTAAGTATACATAGACGACCAACTATCTCCGAACACGACCCGAATCAGCATATGACAGGGGTCTCGGAGAACAGCCGACCAAGTGAGGGGACAACTACTCCGAATCTTATAAATCTTGGAGTTTCCATCTTTTTCCATCATGAGACTGCTGATACCAGGCGTTGAAGCTCTCGTGGTATACTCATACAGCCATCTACGTGCCGTCCCTCACAATGCAGCTTCGGATTAAAGAACCGCCCAGATTGGAGCTGAAGGGTTCTCCAAGAGAAGTAACTTTTTCCCACACTTGTTTTCGTTACATCTACTTATTTTGCTTCTGCAAAAGTATGAGCTGACTTTGGTCACCGATAGATCGGACTTGAACATGGCCGAATCCTATCACAGCAGATCCAGGACCAAATCAAAGTCTACGAGTCCATGTTCCTGGAGGCCTCCAAGATGACCTGGGACGCTGTCAGAAATCTCGCCGAGGAGTTCCGTGAATCACTAGAGCAGAAACTGCCCGACATCTACGCAGAGATGCAGGGTATAGCAGAGGGAGCGGGGTTGGATCTTCTCGACATTGTGGCGTTAAACTGTCGCAGTGAGATTGCCATGGGCAGTTTTTCCGATGGCTGCACAAGTCTATCCTGGAAGAAACATGCCAATGGACGAGTCCTGGCTCAGAACTGGGACTGGGCTCCCGCTGCGGGGAAGAATATCGCCATCATGTCAGTCGAACAGCCCGGCAAACCGAAAGTCTTTATGGTTACCGAGGTTGATCTACCCTCGCAGTTTACATTTGACAATATAGTCTAACACTGATATTAAAACAGGCCGGTATTGTTGGAAAGATCGGATTCAACAGCGCAGGTGTAGGCGTTTGCCTCAACGCCATTCGGGCGAAACCATGCATCAGTTCAAAAATCCCCATCCATGTGGCGCTCCGCCTCTGTCTTGAGAGCCCATCTGCCCAGACTGCGGTCGAAAGGGTCTCTGAGCTAGGAGGTATAGCTTGCAGTGTGCATATCCTAGTTGCAGACAACACAACCGCATTGGGACTTGAACTCTCGCCATTGGGAGATGTGTATCTCAAGGAAGATGTGCTGGGAACTATCACTCACACTAACCACTTCATCGAGAATCGGAACGTAATTGAGCCCCCATGGCTCTCCGGCTCTCCGATTCGGTTGCATCGAGTCCGTCAGCTCCTTCGTGAGCTGATCAGTGGCGGAATCTCCGGGTCTCAGATCACCCCGGGTCTCCTACGAGACAAGATCTTTTCGGATACTTTTAATGCGCCGCAGGCTATCTGCTGCTCAGAGGATCCTAGCCGGGGTCCTGCTGTGCGATCTAAGACCATTTTCAATATCATTATGAATCTGGAGAAAGACAATGTCAGCGCGGAACTTGTCGTTGGCCGACCAGGTTCTGGGGAGGAGACTGCCGTGATACGGATGCCTTGGGCATAACAGTGTCGGATTGTGGTTTCAAGAACACTGATGTCTTCTCAATTTCTCTAGCTACATTGCCTTCTCATTTGGATCTACTCAATGATGCGCTCAATCTCGCGTTGTTTGTTCCAAAATGGGTCTGAATGTTGTAAGACAACTATAAGTAGACAATGCATTTTGCAAGACAACAATGGCATTCTCAACTGTTCCATTGTGCACAAATTTTGAGACACTCTGTCTCGAATTGCATCAACGCATCGAATGAGACAGATGCTATCTGTCCCAGATGAAGACGAAATGTTTGTCCTCGTTGGTCTATATAATGGCCTTTTGACTTGCACTTGCAATGGCTTCATTACCATCATCATCCTGATTCTCATCAGTGATATCCATTCGTCTTCAAATATCTTTTACTGATATAATTCGACCCCGTTCTTATCTCAGAATATCAAGATGTCTACTTACCAAGACCCATCCGACGAACGCGACGCCCTCCTGGCCGCCCTCCAGGAACAGACGGACCTACTGACCGCGCATCCTGAAGAGGCCGGTATCATGAGCAAAGTGATGGATGACATCGAAGAGCAGCTTGCAGTCTTGGGACAGGAGGAATCCCAGAACCTCCAGGCTGGTCTATCCCCAACACTCAAGACGTTTACTAGCCCTCAGCTGCAGACTGACGGATTCTCATTGCCCCCGAGCCCCGGTGGAGACGCTGATGACAGTGACAGTAACACTGACATGGATGATAGCGACAGTGATGAGGACGAGCTGAACGACCATCTCCGTGAAAGATTCTGCAGCCATGAGTGCGACCATGAGTCGTGCCGACTTGCCAACGAACATTGGTATGGTTGCAAAACCCAACTCCAGGATGATTGTGATCGCGAGGATGCTTGAGACTAATGCTAATCTTGTCTATTAAACGTCTTCTAGGACATCTTTTCCTGTTTTCTAATTGTGAGGTTGAACTTGTGTTCAGCTAACTGTGCAGCAGATCGAAGACGATGAGGTTGATGATTTTGGCTTCGGTTTTGATTTTATGGTTCAGTTCTGGGTCGCTTGTGATTTTGTTTGGGAGTATAATGTCGAATTTATGTCGAATCTGATATAAAATCATCGATCTTGAATTTCTTGTCCTGTAGAATCGGCTGGTGTGCGTAGTGGCGTGTAGAAAACTTCCAGGTTCTTCGATTTTCCTCGTCGTTGCTCTTCTCCGCATGCATTGGCAATCGGCCCCTTGAATTCGTCATAGACTCGCCCAGCCTATTATAATAAGCTGCAAGTATCTAACCATCAGACTACCGGCTGAATCTCTTATCTTTCTTCAATAACAAATAATTCCATACCTCGAAGACCTTCTGGGAGACGCTAACCGACCTCTGCAGTAATATCATACTCATGGCCTCTGCCACAGGAGTCCCTCAAGAACATCCTCAGACCATTGAGGCCAGAGAAGATGAGCCATTATTGGGTGGACCAGGTGCAGTAACGCAAAGCGATAGCGACCCCATTTACCGCAATTTAATCAAAGGTATGCGCTGCTGAATGTGAGGTTGTCTGACTTGATACTAACTCATCGGCTGTAGGAACTGCCGCTGTCGCTCAGTGCGGCATATTGCTTGTAAGGTGACCCTTGCAGCAGATTGGTTATTCAAGCTAGCATGGCTGCTTTCTGGTGTCTCTGTAATTGACGCGGTTTCCTAGCTTGCAGCCCTCGTCTGGGCTGGCATCTTCTCCCATGCTTTGATCTTCTTTTCTGCTCATCCGGTACGTCGAGTCGTCGACCCATATCATAGAGTATAGATGATACTATGAAAGATGCCTAATGTCTCTAGCTGCTCAACTCCTCCGCTATACTTCTCCAAGTACAAGCCGCTCTCATCCTACAGCCAACCGCAACGCCGCAGCAGAAGCTCCTGGGCACTCGAATCCACTATTCGCTGCAAGCAATCAGCCTGGCTGCTTTCGTCACCGCATTCACCATCATCGAGATTAACAAGGGCGATCATCCGCGGCTGACATCGCCGCATGCTATCTTTGGACTCATCACCTACATCTGCATCATCATTCAAGCACTGCTGGGGGTTGTTCAGTATTTCTTCCCTGTCACGATCCTTGGCAGTGCTGATGCGGGAAAGAGACTGTACAAGTACCACCGCCATTTTGGATACTGGGTGCTTGTCCTGGAACTGGCAACGGTGGCAGCGGCGACGCAGACGACGTATAATGTGAATGTCCTGCACATTCCGCTTTGGGGTGTTCTTGTCGCAGCGGTGTTAATTGTCGCAGGAGTTGGTGCCAGAATCAAGAAGCACAAACTCGGCTTCTAGAGCAATTTTCCTTTTCGATAATATGCTAGGAGGTCATAATGACTACACATAGGGAACAAGACGTGGCTCGATCGATGCTTGCGCATTGCCGGACCTGGATGTGAATGGAGGGATTGTGCGCGATATATTTCTAGCATCGACATATTTAATCTGTATCTAACGGAAATACAGAGAAAATACATGACGGAATTCACCATATATGTATTAGAAACGTTGGCATCAAGAGCATAAAAGTGCTAGAATGCGGATTACCGAATTAGGAAAGGCGGCGACAGCTCCAGCTCAGCTCTTATCTTTTTCCACCATCGGCCCATATCTCCCGCGCGTTTATAACTTCACAACCTCGGCCAGCCATGCCGTCGATTAAATCACCATACATCTGCCTCAATTGCAGATTGACGAGCAGACTCACCCGACGCAACTTCACCGCGTCTGCTCGAAACTCGGAATTGCTGCGCCCCGCAACCGCTCCGAAACCCACCCCCGACATCAAACATATCCGCCAGAACGCAGAGCTCTACTCGAAAAACAGCGTGCATCGAAATTACCCGGCACACGCTGACTATCCCTATAAAATTCAAGAACTCTCGGAAGAAGCGAGGCGTCTTGATCAAGATCTCAAAACGCCGCGGTCCCGCATTAAGCAATTGGAGAAGACCATAGCGAATCTTGCGGCATCCGCTCGGCAAGATGGCGCATCAAGTGCCATTGAGGAAGAATTGGCGTCTCTTCGGTCAGAGGCACAACGATTGAAGGATGAATCGCATGCAATGAATACCCGGAGAACAACCTGCACCGAAGAAATCCAACGGCTCGCCCTATCCCTGCCGAACCTTTCCTCCCCCGATACCCCCGTTGGAGACGACCCAAAGCTCGTCACGTACATCAATTTCGACCCTCAATCTCCGCCAGAATGGGTCAGCCGTCCAGATCCGTCGCGGTCTCATGTCGCTATCGGCACCGCGCTCGAACTAATCGATTTTACAAGCTCTGCGACCACCACAGGCTGGGGCTGGTACTTCTTGATAAACGAAGGAGCGCTGCTGGAACAAGCGCTGGTTCAGTACGCCCTTAGCGTGGCCCGCAACCGCGGCTGGAAGGTCGTGTCCCCGCCGTCGATCGTCTACTCCTACATCGCTGAAGCGTGCGGCTTCCAGCCCCGCGACCAGCACAACGAGCAGCAGATCTGGGCCATCGAGCAGAGCGACAAGGACAAGAGTAAGCCCCAGCGCTCTCTGACCGGAACAGCCGAGATCCCTCTGGCAGCCATGTACGCCGGTCGCGACCTCGACGCCTCCTCCCTCCCCCTCAAACTCGTCGGCGCCAGCCGCTGCTACCGCGCCGAGGCAGGCTCCCGCGGCGTCGACACCAAGGGCTTGTACCGCGTGCACGAATTCACCAAGGTAGAACTCTTCGGCTGGGCTGACACCCTCCCCGCAACCAGCTCCTCCTCCAACGACCTCTTCGCCGAGCTCCTCGACATCCAGACCGAGATCCTCACCGCCCTGAACCTCCCCTGCCGCGTCCTGGAAATGCCCACCACAGACCTCGGCGCCAGCGCCAGCCGCAAACGCGACATCGAGGCTCTCTTCCCGTCGCGGCTGCGCCCCCCGCGTCTGGCAGCGGCAGCGGCAGCTCCTCGGCTGATCTCGAGTCCGGCTGGGGAGAAGTCACCTCCGCCTCGATCTGCACGGATTACCAGAGTCGACGGCTGGGTACGCGTGTGCGCGGAGGGTCGGCGAAGGAATCTCGCTTCCCACACACTGTCAATGGGACAGCGATGGCCGTTCCGCGTGTGCTGGCCGCGATCTTGGAGAATGGATGGGATGAGAAACGGAAGGTTGTTGTGATTCCGGAGGTGCTGCGGAAATGGATGGGGGGTCTGGAGGTTATTGGGGAGAAGTCTTAGTTTTATTGGGCGTCTCTGTATAAATTATTCTCTCGCCTCCGCTGTATTATGCTGTACAATATGTAGGACACGTTGATTTGGCGCTCGCAAATATTAAAGACTGGATGCTTTGAATGTTTGTTTACGACATGGATGACCTGCACAGAAGAGCAGTTAATACTTCGAATGTATTACAGCCTAACTAAGCTGAAGAGCGACATTATCACAACGGAAATAAACGCATTGCCCTAGATACAGGCAAATTAACGAAGGGAAGGAACTAGAATCAGATGGCATAATATAGCAGGGGTATCGTGATCGTATCGACATGCCGAGAAACAACAGAATAAAAACTCCGCCATTTTCGCATACAGAAGCGGCCGTGTCATTATTCATTCAAATCAAATCGTATCAGAAGGGAAAGCGCGTATAAGCATCATTATTCGTTATCGTCACTCCTCAATCCCAAGGGATATCTTCGTCCTCGACTTTCGTGCAGGTGAGATACGGCAACGCGCCGAGCGCCGAGTCGCCCAGCTCGGTACCCTTCAGGTCCAACTCCAGAAAATTCCTCAGGAGCGGCTTGACGATTTCCCGGGCCAGCCGCTTGATTTCGTCCATTTTACGCTCGAAGCGCTTGAGGATGTCCCGGGTGTAGAGCGAGTCTGCCGACGGGGTGGGGTGCACTTTGAGGAATTTTTTGAGTTCGTCGTGCGAGAGGTAGGCTTGTGTCGAGGGGGAGCCTATGAGTCGGTAGACCTGTGCTGGGGTTAGAGGGGAGGAGGGAGGAGAGGCCCGCGATGTGGTTTCCTGGGTGCGATGGCTGCGGCTGGTATTGTTGCTGGCGCTGGCGCTGATGTTTGCGCCTGTGGCGGGCAGACGGTTCGTCGAGGAGTTTTTGAGAATCGGAGCCGGCGGAGCGGTGGTGTTGTCCACGAGCCACTGGCGGAACAGGGAGACGGCGAGCCAGTCGAGATATGCGTTTATAGGGGTGACGCGCTCGCCGCGGGAGGTGGTGAGCGTCAACCGCAGAAGCTTCGAGTCGACGCGCGCCTTGAGGTCTTCGAGATCCTCGACTTTGTCCTCAATAATATCGAGAACAGAGTTCGGGAGCGGCGAGTACGAGCCGTTGCGAAGATGCGGTAGAGCCGCGGGCCACTGGCCCACAACGTGAATCAGTGCCTCGGAGAAGATGACCCGGCTGCGCGCGAGGTACCCCAACTTGAGGTAGCTCGGAGGGTATTTGGCAATCTGCTTAAATAGTCGAGATCCGAATCCGAGGAGATGATGGTCTACTCGAGGTCCAGTAACCGCCAAGGCATCGTACATGTCCGCAAGCGCAAGCAGAGATCGACACTCGGCATAAGCAGTCGCAATGTTGACACTGTTGAGAAGAGGAGGATAATTGTAGAACAGGCGAAACAAATTGTCATAGTCACGTATAATCGGATCCATCTCCACAGCTACTGTATTTGCCGTGTGAGGCAGGTTGACCACGGATTGCATCCCTGCTAGATTTGCCATGGATCGGATGAAGCCAGTTTGCGCGCTCGAAGGTTTGGTCATCGACGGTGGATAGTGGACGGCATCGCTCCCTATGACGTTGGAGAACGTTGGCTGCTATATTCTCATACCATCGTCAGTTGTTGGACTTGGTATCAATATTGTTCAGACTGACCTTTTGGACAAGTATAGGCTCTTCGTCTTCCGCCTTATTTTCCCAGTCCAACTCGTATCTCCACCTCCGCTTTTCTGGGTGAACTCCGTATGCGCCGCTCTCTGATTGCGCAAGGGTTGATCCGTTGGATAGCGACGAGTTATCCTCGCTGATCCGGGACATTACCCCCGTGTCGATGTGCTGAGACCGCGCTGTGCCTTGTCGCGACCATCCCTCGCTCGTACTGGCCTCGAAGAACCCGGAGCATTGTGCCAATATCAATCGATGCAAAAGATAGCGTCGTTCCTGTCCACCGGCGCGTATCACTATCTCAACATCACCAGTGTGGGTGAAGATTGGAAAATCGTTCTGCGGCTGATGAGAAGGACCGCCATGATGAGAACGACTCGAGCGATGGCGGCGACCGCTATGCGAATGACGCGACACAGAAGAGGGTGCGCCTTGCATCTGCGCAGAGCGATCAAGAACTTGGGCTTGAGAGACCATTTCAACTGCGGAAGTGGAAAAAGGCTTAATGATCATGGCCTCCGATTCAAGCTCAGCTTTCAGGCGCTTGAGAGGCCACTAGGTGACGGACACGGCGTGCAGTGTTCATTTAATATTCGATTGACCCAAAGCAATCTGGTTGAAAACAGGGAAACAAAGGGATTGACTGCTTGATAAGATCGTGCTAAAGAAAGTTAACCGTCGTTTGTTGTGATTTTTAGTGGATTCATTCCCCGCTGCGATATGTTGCGCCCCTCGTGGAATGGATAAGCCGAGTGACTTCCGAGGGAAGACTAAGGTGAGACTAGAGAGTATCTAGATAGACGATGCAACCATGAAGGTCCCGGACAAAGAGACCATTAGCAAACTTCAGAAGCTGAAACAAAGAGACGGAAGCAGTACTCCGTAGCAGTCAAGCGGCAAATATCCACACAGAAGCACAACATCTAGAAGTACATACGTCCAGGTACCTACTTGGTAGACTGCGGACTACGGAGTATCCGTACCATGGAGGACCGACTCCACAACACAGTGGGGCAAATTGCGTCCCTTATTTTCTTTTACAAAATAAACTAGCATCCAAGCATAATCATAAGGAGTTAAGAATCTCCCTACGATATCATTAAGGTTGATGATGGTACACCTACGATATACCCGGGTGGATTGAATGAATGTACCTCTATAAATAGGTAGGTACCTTAGGTATCTGATACCGTAATTTATGTATTGAGGCGTATGAAACAAGGCCGGAGTTTTGATCTAACTCGCTCTTCAGCGTAAACTGCCTTAGTCATAAATGATGACTCATCCGATAGCCCGCAGTTTACCACCTATCGATACCGAAATATTAATCGTCATTGTCCCCAGGCTCCTCCTTTCATGTCTCCGTTCAGACATCGGATAATCCGTCATTCCAAACAAGTGTCCTGCGGAGCATTTATTCTTTACTTGAGTTGACAGTCTCGTCCACCTCAAGAGATGGTTTGGTGGTTTGAGAAAGCACACACGGCCTTCGACTTTTCCTGACACCCTGCTCAATTATGGCGAGTGTCATGCTCGGATATTCTCATCTCGGTTGTACAGGATAGCAATCCGTCCAGCATTGCATAAGGTAGCCCTACCAGCCGCTAGTCTATGACATCTCTCAAGTCATGACCAAAGGCTGTTACACCTGCCGTCGCCGCCGCATTATCTGCGACAATGGCCTCCCCACTTGTCGAAAATGTCGCGATGCGGGGAAGGAGTGCCTGGGATATCGTAAACCTCTTGTCTGGGTCAAGGGCGGTGTTGCTAGTCGAGGAAAGATGATGGGACGCAGCTTTGATGATGTCATGGGTGCTGCAGAAGCTCAAAAGACTGATATCCACGATGCGAATACCACGCTCGCCGACTGTGCGATACCACCGCCCACCACGGAAGCTCATGCTCCAATTGAATCGGACAGACTTGCGACATGTAGGGCGGATGAAACGCCAAGTGTGTCAGATGTTGGTTCTATCAGTGAGGCTGCAATAAGCACCGCTGGCGGCTTGGTCTCCACACAATGTACTACTCCTGCCGCTATCTATATCCCGACGCCTTGGGGGCTGGTGGACCCTGTGTTGAAAGATCTCAGCCCGCTGTCGAGGTTCTACATCCTTCACTGTACGTCATTAACCCTCTTGCCTCTCGTGCCTTGGGTAGCAGAATGTGGATCTGTCTAACAGTTTACCGCCTTTTCAGTCAACCAGCATTTAGTGAGCTATCTTGCGCTGTATTCCGATGTCCGAAATCCGTACCGTGATTTGACCTTCTTGGTTGGCGACTCCCCTGTCCTCGCCCATGCTCTCGCTGCCACAGGTGCTCTGCATCACGCAATCTTGACAAACCTTGAGTTCTCATTGCCCTGGTCCTCAGACACTGCGGGAGATGGCGACACGGCGCTTTCTCCGGAAGAGGTGGAGCGAGCTGTGATAAGCTCCATGGCCAGGCGACCTTCTTCCAAGGACTATGAGCACTTTCTTGGCTTTAAGCAACGCGCTCTTCGTCAGCTTTCCCTTGACATCTGTGATCCAATCATGCGTAACGATAACCGGACATTGGCAGCAATTATGGTTCTCGCTCTCATGGACGCTATCGAGTCAGGAGACGGTGCTTGGAAGTATCACTTGGAAGGAGCGAAGAAATTGCTCAAGAGCCGGCAACAATCAGAGTCTCCGACTCACGCGCAGGGCATGATGAACTGGCTGGACACCTTTGCCATTGATGGTTGTCTCCTGTAAGCCTTCCCGCTTCCTGATCAATCCATCTACTCAGATAAGAGCTGATTAATAGTTGCCAGAATTCAGCTAATGGGATCCACCCTTGCGCGCCCCGGCTCTCTCACGCAGCCTTTCTATTCCTCCACTATGGGCCCAGCAGTTCTAAAGCGTCTGGAAGAGACCTCCTGGGTCGGTTGCCCAGCCTACCTGCTCGAAGTCATCTTCTTCGTCGAGGCTGGACATTTCCTGGCGCCTGACAAGGATCCTATCTCGCAACACACAATGTCATTTTCCTCGGTCTTTCTGCCCGACGACTCCAAGCCGCCCCAATCTCCCGAGGCCCTCCTCGAACACATACAGGCCTTTGACCCGGTTGCGTGGGCCGAATCAATGCAGTCTTGTCTCTACCTCGAGGATCTATCGATGCGCATCGCCCTCGCCACCATCTACAAGGCCGCCGTCTATCTTTACGCCAGCCGCGTCCTCTCCCGCCCACGGTCAGAACGTAGTTCAATGGTTACCACCTCGTTCAGACTTCCTCCAGATCACGGCGCAATAACCAACCTCCTCATCCACCAGATTGCACTCATCCCGGTCGCCGATCCACACTTCAAGTGCCTTATCTGGCCCACGTTCATCGCAGGCGCGGAATGCCGCGATCCCGCGCACCGCCCCTTCCTTCTCGAGAAACTCCGCGCTCTTTACTACGACATCACGAGCGTCAACGTCCGCAACGCCGCATGGGTGCTCAGCCTGATGTGGCGCAAACGGGATCAACGGCGGCAGGAGCGGAACAGGCGACGTGCTCAACAGGACGAGCTCTTCGAAAAGTCGCCCCGCTCGCCTTTGACGACTGACTATGACGACGATGATTTTGATTGGATACAGGAGCTTGACGATTCACGAATCGATTGGCTGTTTATATAATACTTTTCTTCCTGGCTTCATGAGTACATATTTGCGTATCACGTGAACTGCCTAGTATATAGACATTTTAAATCTGAGAAGGTCATGAGTTATCGATTTGCGGACCTGGTAATAATTATCTTTTAGGTGTCTATCGTGGCTCTTTTGGATCAGTAAGATACAATTGTTCGATTTGTCCAACTCCCTGCGGTGGCAGGTGGGAAAGCAATCCTGTAATAGACCAAAAGGGTAGAGCAGCTATTCAGACAATAGAGGCCGAACATGATGTTCGTCTATATGATCGCATTGACAAAAGCTATGTAACAGGAACAGCAATGTGTATGGATGGGAAGAAACAGGATTTGAAGGAAATGAGGAAAGGAGAGATATCACTATTTGGATAAAGGAGGACGAATTTGCATAGAAGAAGGGGGAAAGAAAAGAAGGATCTCGAGAACCAAAAAAGCCCGCTCAGTGTAACAAACCGAATGGTATAATAACAGAAAAGCAACCTGAGGCAGAAAAAAGTGCGAAGGTAGGAGCCAATAGTCGGAGAAGTCGTCCACTTGCAAGGACTTATTCTGTCCCATGATCAAGCCGAAGCTCGACCAGGCTTTAGAGTCCTTTTCCCGTATATAGCTCGGGAGGTCGGCGGAGTAGAGTAGGTACGGCGGAGAAGAGAAGTCAAGAAAAGGAGGTAGATGAGAAGAGAAGAGAACAAACATAAAACAGTACGACAAGCGACAGATGCATACGCCTGCCCATCTAGATGCAGCAATATCGATTCGGAAAACACGCTCATCATTGCAGAAATGCAATATCAAAGTAGATCTTTCTACCAGACAAAGGGAATTCTCACAGTTGTGAACAAAAGAGAAGCGATGGAATGATCAAAGGGGAATATACGGCTGGAGAAGGCCATGTATGAGACTCGGATATCCACACGTCGAGCGAGACAGGCCAAGCAAGAACAAGTATAGCGTCTGCCGACATCATTTTGGAGATTGCCTAGGATTGGGTCGAGGGGAAAGAGGCCACGGAGGTCTGAGGGCTAATAGCTAGGCAACGGGCTCGAAAAGCAATAGGACCGACATCAGAGAGGAAACCCAATGAGCGGAGCATAGACCCTTCGAGAATAAATTGATAAAGTCACCATCAATGATAGGAAGAGCTGCTCAGAAGACTGCCGCCAGGCCGTTCTTGGAATGGCGTCTGCTAAATCTTTTCCGCCCTTTGACTGAATCCGAGTCGTTAGGCTGAGGTTTGACCAAGGTTGCCCGCCCAGACGGGCCGCCCTCGGATTGAAGCTCCGAGCTTCGATCCAGTGTGTTAGCGTGGCTGGATAATCCAGAAGACAAATCTCTGAATGCCTCATCAGAGTAGGACCCGTTGCTCTGTTGAGCTAGAGCCATCTCTTTCGCACGGTCTAGCGTATCCACCCATTCTTGGACAGACAACGCGGTCGCACCCATGGTACTCGATGACGGCTTTGGATCTTCAAAGACGAGATGTTTGTCGCGCTGTACGCATGAAACTTAGCAGAAGAAGACTTGAAGGGAAGCAACGATGAGCATACCGTATCCACAACCCAACATGAAAACCCTTTCGAATCCGTCGCACTACGATAGGACGTCCCCTGCGCGAGCAAAGAAAGCTCCATCTTGGCCTTCTTGTCGTCCCCTCCGGCCGCAGCCATGATGATCCGCCCTGAGGAAGTGATCATAACCAAACGCTGCCGCTTCTTTGTCGTACTCCCACCGAAGAAGCGCGAAAATTTTTTTGGCGCTTCAACTTCACTGCCCCCATTCTTCGAGACAGGACTATGGCCGGCGGGAGAGCTAAGGACCATCCAGTTTCCTAATTTGAGTATCCTTTCATTGGTCTTGGTCAGGACAGGGGACCACTCAATATCAAGTTGACTCGGAGGAGGCAGTTCTGTTACCAATCTCGGCACTACTCGGGCGTTGGAATTGGGAGCGTTCGAAGGTGCCGTGGAGATAATGGGGGGAAACTGTCATTGTCACCACCCCCATTAAGCTTGATGGGCTCACGAGGTGGAGGCACGTACGCCTTGAGACGGGGTGCTTTCCGGGTCCATAAATCCGAGCCCCAGTTCACGCCTTGGAAAAACTCATGGTTCTTGATATGTTCAATCGGGAGACGCCTAGCCGGGTCAAGGACCAAAAGGCGCTCGACGAGGTCTCGAGCAACCGTAGGGAAGCCCACAGGAAACTCGTACTCAAGCGCGACGATTTTTTGAAAAGTCAGGTACTCGTTCGCAGCCTTGAACGGAGGACGGCCGGCCAGGAGTTGGTAGATTATGCAGCCAAACGCCCACAGATCACTAGCCTTGCAGGCATTCTTGTCCGTCAAAAGCTCTGGACTGACATATTCTGCCGTACCGACGAACGAGCTTGCCCGCTCATCTTCCGGGATCTCAGAGGAGTCGAGTGGTGGCATCCCACTTGAGTTCTGATCGGTCTTCCTTTGATTGTTAAGGATTTTTGCCGTGCCAAAGTCAGTGATTTTGATGTACATTTGGCTGTCCAGAAGAACGTTCTCTGGTTTCAAGTCGCGATGAATAACGCCGCGTTTGTGCATGTAGTCGATTGTGTCAAGAATCTGAGCACCGTAAAACCTTGTGCACTCTTCATCAAAGGTAGTCATCCGCTTCAACACTCCTAGCAATTCGCCCCCCTTGCAGAGATCCAGCACGAAATACAACGAGCGCTCATCCTGAAAGGTGTAGTAGAGTCGGACAATGCCGGGGTGTTCTGTGAGCCGATTCAGTGTGTCCTTCTCGATGTTGACGTATTTCACCTTCTTCTCCTTAATGATGTGACGTTTGTCGAGAATCTTGATCGCATATTCCTTCAACGTCTGACGATCCGTCGCTAATACGACAGTACTGTACGAACCCTCTCCCAATGTCTGTCCGAAGGAGAAATCGCGGACCCCTTTTTTGATATACCGCGCGACCGGCTTGCCATTAGCATCAATTTCTTGCCTGACGGAGACGGCTGCACCACGCTCTTGCCAGTCTTCACTGCTCGTTGGCGGTCCATTTTCCATGCCGTAAGGGGACCCGGCCAGTTGTGAGGCTCCTCCGCCGCGTGCGTGAGCCCGTGAGGACTGACGCATTATTGGCCCATTCCCAGGGGCACGATGCGCAGACCGGTAAGAGCGGTCACTGTGACTGTTATCGCGCACCGGAACCCCAGCTTGATAGGCAGCAGAACCACCTCGGGACTCTGCACGTGCTAGACTTTCCGAGGCGGAGGAGGCAGCAGAATCTGTACGAATACGATAGGAGCCTTCGCGGGCTAACGTCGAGGAGGAGCCGTTCGGATAAAAAGCGGATAGAGGGCGCGAGGAGGAGTTCTGAGGAGGATGTTGTTGCTGCTGCTGTTGATGTTGCGGTGTATAGGGGACGTATTGCGGAGTTTGGTGCTGTGGTAGGTCCGAAGGAGGGAGGAGGAAGTCGTCGGAGGTTTTGGAGTAGTTTTCAGGAAATGAGAGGATAGGAGACTCTTGATCGTGCTCATTCGAGGTTTGTATTGACGCCGATCGCATCGTCGACTCGCGCTCTAGGTCTGGAGCTGGAGCTCGAGCTAATTCTGCTGCCGTGGTTAAGGTACCGGCGCCCGGAGTTGGAGTTGATGTATCCTCAGATGAATGCAAAGAGGAATCATCTGGATTTGCAATCCGTAAACCCCCAAAGACTGGGAGAGACTCAAATCCCCGTCCATGATGGGCACGGATGGTGGATGGCCCGTTACGGACCCAGGTTGCAATGGAGAAAGAGTGGTAATGCGAATCGGGACTCCAAGGGGAAAGCTTCGATCTAGGCGGAGGTAGCAAAGAAGAGAGCGATTTCAGGTGGAGTTGCTGAAGCCACGGACACCGTAACGGCCTCAAGGAGGAAGAAGCGGTTGTGATGGATGCAATATGGGTAAAATGTCGAGAGAAGGGAAATATTAGTCGCCCGTTGCGTTAGTGAATGGACTTGAAGAGGGGTGGCCGACGGACTATGGCGGCGGTCGGGGGAGTAGTGGGTGATGCATGATACAGCCAAAGCAACCACGAAAGACGAAAAGGGGGGAGCAGCTGGTCGATGTTGATGAAGACAAGAGCGAGGAAACGAAGGAAACAGAAAGAGTAGCAATCAAGAATATAGGAAACGGCAGGTCGTAAGCCAGAGAAATGAGAAAAGCGGTTAGAGGAGGGGACTAAAAAGATAATAATAACAGGTACTCCGTAGCGATGCAGCGGAAGAGGCTGAGTCAAGTTGGGGCCTAAATGAGGGAGATTGGAGGACAGCGATGACAAGACAGAAGAGAAAAGAATGCTGGAGATGAGGGTCTCTTGTAGGGTAACGAGCTTATTTTCGAACCTTGAGATGAACTTGACTAGGTTATTTGCTACCGTAATTGCGCTGATATAGATACCTACTGTCGTTTTGGCTGTGCCTGATATAGATTGATGCCTGAGGTATCAGGCATAAAGCATGATGCCACATTCAACTTGACGTATGCAGATGCAGTGGATAGCTATCTCATGATGTGCACTACATGCATTCTCTCACAGTGAAAGTATTAGACCCTATTTTAGAGTGGTTCTATTGGGCTATGTCATTGCCAAGCACGTTACCTACCACGCAGTTGCTCTATTCTCCGTGGATGCAGGGTAACTCGAAACTATATAAATATATAAATAGCTGACCACGAAGATCGACTGCGCGGCTCCTTCCCGGCTTATCTCTATATCGCGAATGGGCTTTCTGCATTTGTCAAATGGAGTCAGGTAAACAAGTATCACGGACGGATTCATTGCACTTTGACGGCGAGTCATCGTCAATATTCTTGACATGGCCCTTCTATGCAGTGATCCTCCTCCGTTTTAGCGAATCCACCACGCACCGTCATGATCCGGTTCAGACAGACATCTATAGTTCTCTCCGAGAAAGACGTTCAATATCACCTTGAAAGAACGATTATCCGCCAGAAAGCTCGAGTCTCCCAGCTGCCCCAACCGCCCGTACATCGTCGTGCCATGGACCGTGATGGCGCACCTTTCATAGACTCGAGAGCTCCCTTCATTAACTCTATCTCAGGCAGAGAGGAGCAAGAGTCGATCTCAAGTTCAATATCCGACGCAAATAACGACACCAGCTTGTTGCAGGAGAATATTCAGGACATCCATGGCTCATCTCCCTTGCCATCAAATGACAAAGAATCCCAATGTGGATTACATGCATCTGAGATGAAAAGAACCGCCATGTCGCAGGATCCGAGTGGGAAGGAGAAACTAACAGATAGACTTCATTGCAATTGCAATCATAATTCCTTAGTTGACGGCAATCTCCATATGACAGACAGGAGTGCAGGGCCGCATCAACATACCGACTGTTTCTGTAGAGCCAGTCTGCTAAATGAGTCTGTTAGTTTACAAGCTTCTTCTTCAAAGGCTATAGACAAGTCATGTCTTCCGTACCGGCAATCGAGGTCACAATTATTGGCAAGGGCTCCGTGTGATCTGACTCAAGAAAGAAGACCTAGAGTGTTCCGGACTTCACAGGACTTCACCAGCTCAAGCTTTCACCGTGCAAAAACATGTTTGCTTGACCTTGACCCTCGAGAAAGGTTTTCACATTCACTTCAGCTTTTTTCTCAACACTCACTTACTGCCCCAAAGCATTCCGCCTATCCAGGATCTCTACATTCTTCTGATGATCCTCAACCAGCCGACTCTTCTCAAATTGAGATTCCACGTAACACAGTTGATCTGAGACTGCAACCATCGCGCTCAGTCAGCTTTCCTGCGGCTCATTACGTTGAAAAGGAGTTGAATTTTCCAACAAGCTTGATGGAAGACTACTCGACAAAACCGAGCGAAGTCAACGGACATCGTCGGGTTCAAACCCTCCCAAACGTGAGTGTGACTATGCTCATATTAAGACATTTTAAATTGTGTTGTCTCATCAGAAACAGGTTCAGAATAACAACACCGACGATGGCCTGCGTGTAGCCGACGCTACGAATGCCCCAGTGGCCTCGGGCGAGCATAAGATACCCGAACATGTTGAGCAAGGACGAAATCCTGGACCACCTTCCGCGCAGGGCCAAAGCGTTGGGGATATTTTTAAACGCCGCATGAAGGATCATCGTCGCTTGAGACGCTGGAAGGCTTGGTTTGAGGCACAGCAGATCTTCATAAATACTACTGGGCAGCAATTCGCCACAGAAAATCAAGGACAGGGGCCCGTCCTCGTGCCAGAACCCGCTTGGTTGCATCGCCAGGCGGCTCTCATGGGACAAGAGGCGGTCCGCATAGCACAGCAAGTGCCTTATATGGAACAGCAGCCGGCCGTTGGGGCACAGACTGCCTTAACCTCTGATACGCCTCAGCATGACAATGAAGTGGCAGGCACGGATGAAAATCGTATGCCTGCTCTAGAGGAAGCCCTTCCTGATGGTACAGATCCGTCACTACTCGCAAGCTCCAAGCAATCTCTTGCAGAGTACCTGATCTTCAAGAAAAGACCATGTGCGAGGCGCAGAAACTCTGAGCCAACAGATATTGTGCGTACCCTTTCTATGCGGTCTCAGAAGTCTGTGTTGCTAACCTGTGGCTGAAAAAAGAAGAATATTCTTCATCTCACGGCATTTGAAAATTCAGCTGCCTTTCGCGACTACATCGACGCTACAACTGCCGAGTTGGATGATCCGTTTGCTCAGGATGACGCTACCGATTTTGGACTCCTTGCATTGAGAGACAGGCCTGTTGCCGAATGGGGCCGTGAGTGAAGGAGTATGCTTCAAACCAACATCTGATTTATGGAGGAGTGTTCGAAAGTTGGTATGGACTATGTGAGCACCCAACTGCTGTCTTAGCTGTCACCCTTTGAAGTGTCCAACGAAACCAAACCGAACTCTGCAGCACCAGTACATGTGTTTAGTAATTTGGTGGCGTTGTTTGGTAGTCCCACTCCCATCTTTACAACGTAGCTCCTGCTAGCTGTATATACTTCGTATATCTTCCTTCAGAACATCGATCTTTGTTGATTGAGTGACCTGCTGAGATATGGATCCAGAGACTTCAGGCCGCATGATTAATCAGCAGTCCTAATGTGAATCCCTGGGGGTCACTAAGACTCAAGCTTGCTCTACTGTAGTTAAACCTTAGCCTCAGAATCTCACGTAAGCAGAGTAACACCCGGTACTGTGAGTAGAGCCTTGATACGTGTTTTGATCTATTCCTGTATAATTTTGAAACACTGCTTGGGGTCCAAACTGTTGTCTACAGAATTAGACATTGCCATGAGTTATTTAGAGTCTTAACCATCAAACCCGTCTCCATACTTACGCGTCCTGTACCCATGATTCCAACGAATGATGGCGGATCCCAAAGTCGCCATTCGCCACAGACTGACGGAGACTTGAAAGTGAGACCGTAGATCCGCCAAAAAAACAAGCCTGCCCTCTGGAGATCACTCTGTTTCCATTTGGGGAATAGACTATTTTGAGATAGACCACTGTCTTGTTTCATCCTTGTGACAAGTTGACAGGCTGAACAAGAGATTTATATCTTCGCCCCTGGACGCGTGTTGCTTGCGGTCATAGATCCATGGGTGATGCCGTCGGGCAGCGGAATAGGTCTCATGTTATTTTTGGTCCAGTCGGGGCTTATGCGGATTACGGAGTACATCATCGACTACCTTACCTTAGAGCACAGGTTATGTCACAGGTCGCAGGATGTAGTCTTGTAGCTTGCGAGATTGTGATGACTAACTAATATCTACCTCTCCATGTGGCGATCGTTGTCATTTTCATTAATGCGGTATTGCTGATTGGAGTATGCTGCTGTGTCTCAGTTGTAACGTCAAGACGCAACTGGGTAAGGTACTACATGGTACCTAGAGAAACTGGATAGCAATCAGTTTGATTACTGATTGGCCATTATGTGGATAGTCTGTGAAAGAAGCATTGTGAATGTGTAGCTAGAGAGATGGATATACCATTAGACCCCCAGAACATGTACTCTGATCCTGTCTTTTGAGTGATCCTCTTGTCAACAAGCTCAAAGCGCCAGAACTGCAAAACAGATGAGATTCAGCGCAAAGCAGGCTGCTTCGAATTGATAGATGATATTCTGGTTGATTAGTGATATATTGTAGTAAAGCAAAGTCTAACGAGAGCAGCTTTATATCATAGAATCACCTCATGCCAAACAAGCCAGTCAAAGAAGGATCAGAATGATCGAATTCATCAGAATAAAGGGTAAGGTATATAATAGATGCGAGGCAAGTCTAACAACATGATTTATGTCTGAGAAATGGTATAACAAGAATGGTAAAGGTGCAAAGGCGGTCGGAAGAAGAAAGTAAGGTGATTCACAGAATGAAACGCCGGCAGACAAGTTCTCGGACGTCTCGAATTAATAGCAAAATGCTCCGTTGTTCCCAGTCTCGCCTCTAGATTTTTCCCGTTGAAGACATCATTCAGTATTAGGATTGACATAGTTTGATCAAAACCATCATGGTACATGAGAAAGGAACATTTTACTGGGCCTTGCTCTTGGCGAATACCTGAGCGCCGTCCACCAGACGTCTTTCAGCGTTCTGACGACCGTTGACGAAGTCAGGGTAGTTGAGAGTGAGCTCAACAGCACCGTTGACAATGTTGTCGACGGCTTCGACACCCAGCATAAAGGAGTGGTCCTGGTTGCCAACCTCGTAGCGCCAGCTACCGAAGCGGCCACGAGACCAGATGTCCTTGTCTTGCAGCTTGGGCAGGATCTGAGTGAGAGCACCCTCACGCTCCAGGGTGGGGGTGGGGTAGCCGTGGTCGAAGCGGCGGTGGTAGGTGGAGACAATCTCATCGGTGGGCTTCAGCATCTCGGTATTGACGAGACCCTGGATGCAGTCGGCCAGAAGAGTCTCCTGGTTGACGGGCTTCATAGAGGACTCGGAGACCTCCAACATGATAGACCAGTAAGGGCCCTCCTTGGCCTCAGTGCTCTGGGGCTTGGAGCCATCGGCAAGCTGCATGGTGGGCAGCTTCTTCGAGGCCTCAGGCTGGTTGTAAGGGGAGTAGTTGGAGAAAATGGTGGCACGGTAGAAGGGGCAGTTGTCTTCGGGGAAGTAGAGCTGAATGGTCCATACGTTAGCACGAAAAACAGAGGCTTAGGGACGGAAACTGGGCCTGTAGTATTACGTACCCAGCACTTGTCACCGATTCTCTCGGGGCGAGAGCCACGAATACCAACACCAATGACGTGGGTGGAAGAGTAGAAGAGCTGCTTGGTGAGACCAACGAGCTCCTGGTCGTTCATGGCCTCGGCCAAGAAATCAACAGCCATGGTGGAGACAAGCTTCTTGTAGCCGATGGTGGTGCCGTCCTGCAGCGTCACCGTCTTGTTGTTGGCATTGACCTTGGTAACCTTGCCCTTCTCACCGAAGCGGGTCTTCTCCTTAGGGAGAGTGTTGGCCACGGCAATCCAGATACCACCAGTACCGCCACGAGCGGGGAAGCGGAATGTAGCGTTGGGACCCCAGTTACCAGCGGTCTTGCCGAGGATAACGTTGGTCGTCACGGCCTTGAGGTTGGGAGCAGCAACACGCTCACCGAGCCAGGCGCATTGCATCTAATTCGAACAGAACCCATCAGCCCGTTTGTTCTCTCAGACCACGACCATCTGATGTCCGACTTTCAAACGTACCTTGGTGGTGGGCACAGCCCAGACCTTGAAGTTGTAGGGTCTCATGAAAAGGTCGGCGATACCGGTACCCATCATGCGAACAATCCACTCGTCAAAGGTCTTGGGCTTGGTGTTGGCGACACGAGCCTCAAGAGCAGCATCGATCATGCCATCGATGCACTTGACCTGCTCCTCCTTGGGAAGCATGGAAATGTTGTTCTGGAAAGGATAGGGGACCCATTGGCCCTGGCAGCGAACGTAGGAGATACGCTGGTGGGTGTACCAATCATCCTCCTTGGGAAGCGCCTCATCAATGCAGTCGTCGAAATACTTGTAGTGAGAGAAGATGACGTGACCACCGACATCGTAAAGCTAGGAGTTTGTTAGACCGTCTGTCTCGAATTCGGGATCAATTGATTGTCCTGTCAAAGGTAAACGTACGAATCCCTCGGGGGTGACATCGGTAGAAGCAAGACCACCAGGAGTCTCGTTGCTGTCAATAATCATCCATGAGGGGCCATCCTATTGTCGACATCAGTTCTGCGATCAATTGCGCTGCGAAATCGGCATTGAAGGACGTACGATCTGGTTCAGACGCTTAGCAGCACCGAGACCAGTAGGTCCGGCACCGATGACGAGAACGTCGACGGAGCTGAAGGGAAAACCCGCAATGTCAGTTTCATCGCAAGAAAACAAGCTACCCCTGAAGAGCTTCGGGAGGGGAGAGTTCTTACATATCGGGGTGGGTCATCCTGCCTTGTAGGATATCCTGGAAGCTGGGAACGCGATTCAAAGTTCTGCGAGCGAGACTAAGCATAGAAAATGCCAAACTGCAGGAGACTGCAGAATATAAAGGAAAGCAAACGAGAGAGTTTGGGATGAAGACAGGAAGACGGTTGAGAGAGGAGGAGGGGAGGAAAGATAGGTGTATCACAGAGCGGTCGGGAGAACGAAACGTGACAAACAAGCTGTGGGGAACGCCTGTTTCAAATTAAAGTCCTGAGGCCAATCAATAGTCAAAAGGCCCCAGCAGTGGCAGATTGTACCTTAGTTGAGCCCTGAAAGGGGGAGGGGATGGAAAAAGGGGAAATTGGCCACCATCCGGAAAAATAATAATATTAAAACTGATAATATTAAATACGCATTAAAAAAAAAAAATTAAAAAAAAAAGGAAAAGAAAGGAAAAATGAAAATATCAAGAATTTATTTTAGAAATGGTCTGTCTGGAAACAACTGGGGCAGATAAACCACGGTTATCAGCAATTTATTGTTACTCCTACTTTCGGGACCTATCTAAAGTGCATCGCTGCCATGAACCCTACTACTCCGTACTACCAACCACAACAGTCTCTTTATGCCATCTGGGTATTTGCTACCATCTTGTTGGATAATTTCACTATTGTATTTGGTGGAGGTCTGTACCTTAGTATTAGCATACCTAATATTCAATCCTCAGCCGGGCTCTATCATAGTTCTGTAGATAGCCACAGAGGGCGCTTGGTTGCACCTCAAATCTAACCCCATAAGTATCACAACCTTAAGTCTACATCTCCTAAATAAAGATATTCGTCTTGTGTCAAATTTCCCCGGCAGCTACACAGAAGTGTCTATACCCCTTGCGGATCACAATGATGATAGACTCAGTAACCCAGCTGCTTGCGACGTTGACAGAATTCGCTTATCGCCCAATCCCAGAGCAACACAGGCACATCATCATGTTTATCTCAATGTCATACCCAAGATCTATGCGCTCCGCAGCTTAGTGATGCTTATTCCGGTGGCAGGTTCCTCCTTAAGTCCGTAGACGCTGGGGGCTGGAAGCTGGAGACAAGAATGTCACTTGCGGCTCCATATCAGACCAGGTGACCGCTTCAATATCTGATCGTTTATGGAAACAGGAGCACAGAGTACGAACAGCTGTTCTTAATTCAGTACAAATATGGAGTAGCTACTTTACATACTGGGCTTGTTCTGCTCCGTGCTGGCAACAGTTGTTGATTGAATAAAGCCACTTTTGTGTATGTTCTATGACTAGTCTCCTAAGAGGGCTCTCACTTCTAGTATTCGCTTCCATCAGGAAGATGTTGATTGATTGTAGGAAGTTCCACAGCCGTCCTTTGCTTCAGCTATCTTGAGGAGTAAGTCGAAGATATCCGTCTTCAAACTCCGTATCAAACGCTGAGGATATTCCCCTGTCCACTTCGACGAGCCAGAAGAAAAGAAAACCAGACATAATCATCCTCTACTTGTATTCCGGTAGATAGGCACTGGACAAATTTACATCGATTGTCCATGATTCTTCGGATTGACCAGCATTTGCGACATCCTGGTCCAAGCTTGCTGCTCGGAAACTGATAGCTTGGCAGATCCAGCATAGAGGGTGGTTGAGAAAAAGGGTCCCACTGATTAACTTCTCTGGGAAGGGAAACACTAATTATTATTGTAGATCTCTTCCAGAAACTGTGCTGAACCGTTGATCAACTTGATTATGCCCGTGTTCCACTGGAGTTGACTGATGACGAGGCGTCAGGGACCTACTCCGTAGTACTAATGCTAGTACTAGGTACATGTACCTCACCACAAAGATACCACCTCCGTACCGTCCTACTCACCGGCTATCAGGGCCCCTGCTGGTCTTGTCTCCTGCATTGGATGTCGCAGTGTGGCAGTGGATCTATAGACCCCTTAGAATCCTCTGCTTGTCTGATTTTCGGGCAACCTGGAGACTTGGGAACTTACCAAGAACATCTTAGTATACGTTGCGATGCTTATCTGACAGATCGAGTATTTGGGTCGTTGGTAGAGTAGGCATTCTCTCTAGACACTCCATAGCCTACAAACAAGCAGACAAACACTGAAGGCACTCGGACACTCAGAAATCAGATCCTCGTGGGTCCCTGACTGATCGTTTCCAATTTCGTTACCCATGTCCTTGTTCTCAGCTGGTCCCTGATAGACTACTTTAGGTAGGTGAAGGTTAGTGCAAGCCACAAGAAGTCGGGTACTTGCGACACCAGGGAACCAAAGCGTGATAGCGGCAGGTTTTTAAAGCTCATTGGATTGAGGTCGCCGCATTCTCCACAGGTAAGGGACCTCGGCGGCGCTATGGATAAGTGGCGGGTATTGGATTGCTTGGCTCTCAGACTGCTTGCGTAATGCAAGTGGTGACAAGCAGGACACTGTTAATTTCGATCAACACTCGATGTTGCAAGATTCGCTGGTTTGCTGTCGTATCCTTCAATCAGAATCCATGAATTGATGATGGAGAGTACGTATAACGAAGATCAGGAGGTCGGCAGAAAAGTGATGATCCTTGGACGCTTCACTGGCGGTCAAAATACATTAATTGTTTTATCATATTGATGAACTGCCTATGAAGAGAACAAGCACTGTTAATAATATCTCCATAACTTTGCTTCAATAATAGGGCACACAGCTTTTCTTTCAAGGAACTTGCTGGAAGTACCAACTAATAATGTGCCAAACCTTCAGGTCTGGGAACCAAAAGGGGCGGGGATGGTCAAGATTAAGGAATTGGGATAGAGAGGTGGATACCTGGCCTTTAACAGCAAACCAAAAAGCTCACTAGCAACCAGGTGCTCGCCACAAGTGACCATAGTTAGCACTCTGTAAGCATTTCTTCTTGAGCAATTAGATCTCTCTTCTGGGTCTTCTGGGTACCTCCACCACCAGGTACAAGAAAGTCCCAACATTAGACCCTTCAATTTCAGGTTGAACACATCTTATCTTTGCAGTTACTCCGTACCTTGTACTCTGTAGCGCCAGGGAAATAAATGCATACTGCAGGTTGCATAGTAGGTACTCTATTCCATGCCATTTCTAAGGTACCATCATACCAAAGAAACACAGTGCATGAAGTACCACTACCACAGTCAATTTGTTCTTGGTCTCGCCTCTTCCAGTCCACCTTGGCCTCAGAAGTCTCAAGTCTGATCGCTGCTGGCCAGAACGCAAAAAAGTTGAAACTGGGCGCTCGAAGGTCGGAACCACTTGCGGGTGTTTCAACTTCTGATTTGGTACTAGCCAATACCTCATTCAGTAATACTGGTTGGGCCTTGCCCGCTTTTGATCTTAGCCCCATCTGCCCCACCACCACTATTCTTGTCACATCTTCCAAGTGGGCCAAGTCCCAAGGCTCTACGGTATTATCAGAGGGAGATGCTTTCAGCAGGAACTATTATGCATACCTTACGGAGTACCCCCTAAGCTAAACAAAGTTTTCGGCTGCGTCTGTCACTGTACGTACCCCATTTAGAGGACAGCGCTTGCTCAAGGCCAGCTTCAGTGTCCACTTTCACCGACGAACGACATACCTCATCCCAGCCCACGATCTCGCTATCATCTTATTTTCTATTTTATTATTATTAGTTTGTCCAGCCAGCTCTATCGACACCTATCTACGGATACTAGGACTACGTACGACCACGCCTTTGCTCACTTGAGCCAGATTATTAGCCCCTAATCCAACCCGACCCGTGTTTGATCCCCGACCCTTAAAGATTTACGCAATACAATTTCTTTTTTATTTCTTTCCGTGTTAAGCACGGAGTACCTCTCTAGTCACAGACGAAATCTCCATATCCTATCCGCTGCTTTTTCTTTTCCGTTCCCCCTCTCCTCTTCCGTCACATACCTCAACTTCATCCATCTCCCTTCAGTCGAAGCCTTACTTGTTCTCTATTTCGTTTTTCATTTGGTTCCTGTTCTTTTTATCATTCTTGACCAACTCTAGTCTCACTCGTTAGACATTTGTTTCTATTTCTCTTCTTCTTCTTCCAGCTTCACCCCTGGCCTCTGCGCGCTTTGGTCAGAGCAGCCTTCTACGGCCGCGCCCTTTCGATTTCAAGCAATTCCTATCCAACCAGAGTCAACTCTTCACAATGAGTAACGAAGGAGAAAAAGCCAGAGTCTCCGGCGAGGTCTCTCGCCCTGAGCCTCTCCTGCCCACCGTCAATCCCGCCGCTGAGAAGTCGGAGCCTCCCAAGCCTACCTTCCACCCTGCCGTCTATGTGAGGTGAGCACAACTATTCAGTTCTTGGTACAACAACGATGAATCAGTTATGCTGAGGCTTTGTTAGTGTCTGGATTGCTTTGAGTTCCAGCGTCATCCTGTTCAACAAGCACATCCTGGATTATGCCCAATTCCGTAAGTGAAATCTGGCCGATTCGCTTAGCCGATCAAGTTTTCTCAACCAGCCTACTAACGATTTATCTGTCCAGGCTTCCGTAAGTCCGATTCTGTCACTATATCTCGTCAAGCGAAATCTAATCGTTCCCAGCTATCATCCTGACAACATGGCACTTGGCATTCGCGACTTTCATGACTCAAGTTCTCGCCCGCACAACAACTCTGCTCGATGGCCGCAAGTCTGTGAAGATGACTGGACGGGTCTACCTGCGCGCTATTGTACCTATTGGTCTTTTCTTCTCCCTGAGTTTGATCTGCGGTAACGTGACATACCTGTACCTGAGTGTTGCCTTTATCCAGATGCTGAAGGTGTGTTTTGGCTCCGATCAACTTGCCATGTCGCTGGGCGATAATTGCTGATGACGATACATAGGCAACAACTCCGGTCGCTGTGTTGCTCGCCACCTGGGCTATGGGAATGGCCCCCGTCAACCTGAAAGTCCTCTTCAACGTCGCTATTATTGTCGTCGGTGTCGTCATTGCCTCGTTTGGTGAGATCAAGTTCGTCTTCATCGGTTTCCTGTTCCAGATCGGCGGTATTGTCTTCGAAGCCACCCGTTTGGTCATGGTTCAGCGCCTTCTCAGCTCTGCTGAATTCAAGATGGACCCTCTCGTTTCCCTGTACTACTTCGCTCCTGTGTGCGCTGTGATGAACGGTGTCACTGCCTTGTTCGTTGAAGTACCTAGCCTGACTATGGGCCACGTCTACAACGTTGGTGTCTGGACCTTGCTGGCCAACGCTGTTGTTGCCTTCCTGCTCAACGTTTCCGTCGTTTTCCTGGTAAGTAGTGTTCGCCAACCTCGCATTTCCTGTTTTAGTCGTTAACACTTGAACGCAGATCGGAAAGACTTCCTCCCTTGTCATGACCCTGTGTGGTGTACTGAAAGATATCCTTCTTGTCGCTGCATCGATGATGATCTGGCAAACTCCTGTTACCCCTCTCCAATTCTTCGGTTACTCGATTGCTCTGATCGGTCTGGTCTACTACAAGCTTGGTGGCGATAAGATTAGGGAGTACGCCGGCCAGGCCAACCGGTCCTGGGCCGAGTACGGTGCCAACCACCCCGCTCAGCGCAAATCCATCATCATCGGTGCTGTTGTTCTCATCTTCTTCCTGCTGATCGGCTCAATGGCGCCCAGCTACGCTCCCGAGTCTGTGGACAAGGTCAAGGGCATGCTTGGCGGCGCAACTGCTGGAAATGCCTAAAGGACGCCGATAAATCTGCATACAGAAAGAGCATGCGAGAATGCTCCTATGAGATGCGGCAACGCAGATACTGCTGGGTGAGAGCTATTCGTTACCTGTTGGCGGTAGCAAAATAGAATGCAAGATTCCATACGGCAGGAGTCTGGCTTAATACTTTTCATTCACTTTTCATATTGAGGCCCTTTGAAGACATGTCACTGGCCATATATTTTCTTTACCTCACCCTCTCTGAATTAATGCGCGCTTCTGTTGAGATCGTCCACATGTTTGACCGACTGGCGGCCTGACTCGGCGACATGCAGGGAATGCAGCCGGTCTCGCCTTCCTAGATGCGTTGACATCCATATGATATGCCTTGACCTTTGGAGGTATTCCCTTCTTTTCCGCGTTTTGCATCACGGACATCGTCCGTACGGGGACTACAGAGGCTTACTGTTTTTTTCCATCTTTCTCTATGAACATTGACTGTCATGTTAGATTAGCACGAGGTTCCGGTGTCGGATGTGTGTTGTTTCTGTTTCTTCAACTTCCTTCTCGCCGACGTTTTCTTTATCCCTTTTATCTTCTCCCTGTGAATATAGGATACTTCTCATGTGCTACCAAAATAGAGTTTGCTTTTTTCTTGGATGGACGAGAAATGCAATACATTACCTTATGTTCATCATCATGACGGTCGAGGTCCTTGGTTGGTTATCTTGCTCTCTCGCCTCAAGAAAACTCCCAGCCACGCCGGTGTTGTCCTGAGGCATTTGGCCAATTTGCAAGGCTCCCAATCATATTTCGTTGCGGCAGCTGCCAAAGCGGGCCTCAGTTACGGACCAATCATAACCCTGTTGAAACCTCAGGCCAGCAGCAGCCGGATTGGCCAATAATTGTGCGGAGTGGCGCACAGAAGGGGCCGACGCGCGGACTGGGCGTCCTTTTTCTGACCAATTAAATTGGGTCTATGAGGACACTGACCCACATTGCATTGACCAGCGTGGTGATTCATCAACCAATAATGCGGCAATCCTTACAAGCCGATCTGGATCTTGTGGGGGTTGCAAATCATTACAGTATTATACGGTATGCGGCTGCCGGGCACCGCCATGCTTTGCATAGCAACACTGCAAGTGCTGCAGGGCTTGGCACTGTATCTTACAGTATCAAGGCAAATTCTCTCCGCATCCTCCAAAGAAGCTCTAAGCGACGCAAAAAAGATCCGCATCCGTCAGCGCCTTTTCACGCGTTCTTCTTCCAAATCTCTCTTCTCTCCGCTGATCCCGTGGATCTAAGTTCTCACACTTCTTGTCATCACGTCTTCTCCCATCACCTTTCCTGTGTTCCGCTTCCTTCCTCTTCTTTCGTCCCAATTCCTCTCCTTCTCCTCACCTTTCATCTCTCATCTCCCAAAGTCTCTCCAACAACACACGACCGTCGTCTGATATACCTCATTACTTCTCTTCTCCGAGCCCTTTGACAACCACCGCCTTCTCCGCATCTCTTTTCTTCTCATCGACGTCACTCAACCATCTTGCTTTCATCTGCAGGTTACTCTAGCTTGTTTGTTATAGCTCACTTAACAGGACAGAACGCAACAGTTTCGGATTCTCCCTCCTAACCACCTTCGCAAGTCTCTCGCCATGTGCCCAATGCTCCTCAGTGGTCTTGCGGATGGACCCGCCATGGTCCTATCCCCTCGCCAGGAACACGCTTTTGTTCAGTTCCCTCGCCAGTCGCAGCTCGACTCGGCCTCTGCCGCGTCTCACAATCCATTCTTCAGGAATGGCGTGCACTCCCAGGCCGCCTCGTCGTTCTCCAACAATGTCTTCTCCGTACCGAAGCTGGCCAACACTGCAGCCAGTTCTTCCCGAATTTCGCGCAAGAGATCGCGAGATGAAGCCGAGTTTGAGGAAGCCCTCAATGCTTCGAGCGCGCCTCCAGTAGCCGCGCCAGCGCCAGCGTCCAAAGAGGAGCCTATCTATGGGGAGGGCATGGCACTTATCAATCCTCGCACCGGCATGTCGCTTTCTGCAGAGAGCCAGACAGGCACTTGGTACGAAGAACAGCTTGAAAACGCCGCTGCCACGGCGGCTCCTGTGTCGTCGCGGTCCCAGGCCAGTTCGTCCGAACTCCACAGCCGCAAGTCGCAGCGTCTCGACCCATCCGCCTCCCGTGTCGACGACATCACGCTCGCCCACATTCAACGAAGACTTCACGAGACAACCGACGACGACAACCGCCGCCTCCCCCACGCCGGAGCCCGCACCAGCCCCCTAACCCCGAACGAACCCCAGGTTGACGACGCAACCCACCTCCTCGGAATCAGCTGGCAACGAATCTCTACCGACGATGTCGACATGGCGGCCGCCGTGCGTGGCTGGAAAAAGTACATCGACAAGCAATTCGCAGCGTACCTACTGGACTCGCAGATCCTCATGAAGAACCGCGCGCTCAATGCGTACCTGGTCACAGCGCGGCCAATCACCCCTGCCGGACCGGCCATCGCCCCTGCCTTCTATCTCTTCAGCGAAGACCTCAGCCAGGCTCAGCTTGTGGCCTCCTCTTGGGAACAATGCGTGCACAATCTCCGCTCGGTTCCCGTAGTCTTTGAGCAAAATCAAGTACTCAACGCTGCAGACAGACAATCCAATAACAACAATAGCGGCCCAGGCGTTCTAGGCCTGAACGCCACCACAGAACCGGGCCTTCCGCTCCTGCAAACGATGTGCGCCCAGCCAGTCAGCAGCGACATGTGCGCGGGATTGAACAATAGCGTAGGAATGGCGACGGGGATGGAAATTGATACTTAAATCAAGCAGTTCACCGACGACACAACAGCTAACGACACCTCTACGACGACGACCCAGAGCCGCTTTCGTTCTCGCTTTCGCGTTTCGGTTCCGCATTTTCCACCGCGGGTTTCAACCACCATCTAACCATTTCTGGTAGTTCTTTAACATCTTCGGCCCGTTGGCGTGGTTATTTATCGTAATTTTTGCGTCTCTTTTTTCGGAGTTGCATTTGTGGGTTCTTTCCTTTCTTCTTCTTTTTCATGTGTTATTTCTTTTTTTATTTCTATCTCTTCCAACATCGAATATGAAATGTTGCAAATCTGAAATGAAGCCCGGGGAGGGGAAATAAAGAGGGCTGTAGTGGACGTCATGCTTTCGTATCTTACCATTTTGCCTGTTTGTGCTTTATGATTTGTGTTTATGCCGATCAATCATTCCCATCTAGCAAAGAAAAATAGGGAAAAAACAAATTAAATAAAAACCAATTCTTCCAGAGCAATTCAATGCTATTTGAAATTAAGACATCTCATTAACTGCGTATATCGGTTTGTAATTAGACTCACATGATCACTAGCTAAGTATATATCGCAGAGGCAGGTTGGACTACCGGCTACCAGAACTAATCTGGCATCGCTTGATAGCTGTACAGGGTATGTAGACAATCTATTTTCCATCCTTCCGTCGGTAAACGTAACCGTCATCGCGTCTTAAAAGTTGAATCGTAACAATTCTGTATTGCGTCGATCTGATTCCGTGCCTGTCTTACGGCTCCTCCTCAGCTCCGAGACCAGGGCCACAGTGCATGTGCTGGTGTGTCACACTGGCCCGCTGCTGACGCCGCAAGAATGTTGCGTATGGTCTAGCCGATCTTCTCGACGATGACCTCGGAGTGTCCCTTCGACTGACTTTCCTCGTCGGTGTGGTGGGCCTTGAGCGAGTCCCCGAGGAATAGGCCGTCGATCTCTTCTAGAGTTAGATTGGCGGTCTCGGGGTAGAAGAAGTAGATGAGCTGTGACGACTCAGGATTAGTAAATGATGGCAGTAGACGGTGATAGTGGGGTTCCACTTACGGGGATGAAGGAGAAGTTAAGACACATGAAGATGAGATAGGTCTTCCAGCGCAGTTTTTCGAGCAGGATGGGAGTAATCATGGCCACGAAGAAGTTCCAAAGCCAGTTTGCCGAGACCCCGATGGATTGTCTATTTGACATTAGAAGATCACGCAGCGCGCTAAGTACCACTCCATATGGACTTACCCCTTGGTGCGCGCATGTAGAGGGAGGAGTTCAGGTCCGTATGGCCATGGGATGCAATTTGTGGATGCTCCAAAGATGAGCATGAACAGGAAGAAGAATGCGACGGCCGCTGTGGCCGTAGGCTTTGCCTGGGAGGTTCCTGATCGAACGTTAAGGCGCTGAGTTCTCGGAAACGAGGAAGTTGAAGATACCTTCAAACGAAAACAGGATGGCAAGCATCAACATGCAGAAGCCTAGACCGAATGATCCCCACATCATGGGGTTTCGACGTCCAAGGCGATCTGCATACAGTGTAGGATACAATGAACCTAGGAGCGATGCGATTAATGTGTTGTGTCTTGTGCACGAATATGTCGAGGTAAATCCTACCGATGACAAACATGATCTGAATCACTCCACCAACGAGCGAGCTTGTCTTTGCTGTGAGGCCAACATTGTCCTGCAAGACTAGGTAACGAGTCAGAAATGCTCTAGCCCCCATTTGGAAACAGCCGTCTGATTCTCACCTGTTGTAACGTAGAACTGACTTCCTGTCAGCTTGAACAGTCTGCAAACGTGCATCCGGGCCACTTACAACGATGATATTGGTACCGCCCATTTGGTTGATGAACTGGAGCCCATAAGCCATAAGGACCCGCCGACCAGTCTGCAAGTCATCTCTCTTAAGGAAGATCTGAGACCATCTGTATTCTCCACGCGCGCTTTCCAACTCGAGTGCTTGTAAAATTCCTTCAGACTCGGCAAGGACCTTCGGGTGATCAGGTGCCCGGTCATACACCTCACACAAAACCTGCAGTGCTTCCTCGTTCCGACCTTTCCTGTATAACCACCGGGGACTTTCTGGGAGCCTGTCACACCAGTTAGATCTGACCAATATAAATTCAAGTGCAGTTGTTGTACGCGGAACCGGCCGACTTACCCAGCAACCAATATGACTACAAGCACGGCGAATATCTCCTGACAAGCGATAGGTAATCGCCAACTGATTGACCCTGTAACATAGGTCATACCATAGTCAAACCAATAGGCGAGGACAATCCCAACCCCAACGGCAAGCGGTAGGCTGCACACAAACTTTCCCCGTTTCCGTGCCTCACATAGCTCCGCTTGGTAGACAGGCACTAACGTTGACATAATACCAGTGCCGATACCGTTCACGAAGCGGGATATGAGTAACTGTGTTAGGGAGTATGAGCATGTCTGGACCGTACCACCGACCTATAGAGCCAGCCAGATTAGTCGCTGTCCATCTCATTCATTCATCCGCGGGCGGGACTCACCACTACATAGACCATCGAAAACCACATAGACTTTTGAAACCCGAGCCTGTCTGTTGTCATGAAGGCAATCAAGGTACCGAAAAAGCAGCCCAGATTGTAAATAGACACTAGGAATCCGAGCATGCCCGCGCGGGGGTGGTTGACGATGCTCAGAAAGTCTTCATTGTTGATGATTCCAGAGAAGACACCCTGATTATAGCCTGGATAAGGACAGAGTTAGCAGCCCAACCGTCAATTTGTAAGGCTTTCATGGTATCCCACCGAATAGGACAAATGCAATCTGGCAGGTGATCAGAATCGCCATCCGGAGGCCTAGCCCTCGACTATACATCTTGATCTTAGCCATGCTGCGAGTGGAAAGACGCGATGAGACGTCGGGAAGGAGAATCGGTTCAGAAGATGCTCCAATGGATAGTTGATTAGGAAGTATTTATGTATGCCACACGATGCAATATAGGGGGCACGAGTGGATGATGCAGGCCATGCAGATCTACGACATACCTGCTACAACCCGGGAGCTCGGGCGCGCACAGCGCGGAGCTTTACTGCTCTCCCGACAGGTTTAGTCCTCCCAAAAGCCCATTGAACCATTTGAGACGGTCACAGGCGCAATGCTCCATACCAGATTCCGCGGAAATCGGGGAAACTCTCACGGCTATGCTAAAGATGGAATCAAGGAGGAAATGGTGATCGAGAACTCCAAGGGAAGGTAGGCAGCATCAGGCGGGGACGCAGATTTGGTCCTATCATTGTAGTCCGTGAGTCGCCTTTTCCTTACGCATTCCTGAAGTTCAATGGGGGCTCGGAGCAGAGTCCGAGCTTGGATGAGGAAAATCCTTCCCAGCAAGTCTCGAGCAGCCCAAGGATAAGACGTGCATCATGCTGAATCATATTTGCATACTCAAGCTTCATTTTGACATCACTCTGTGCCGTGATCACAGGCAAAAAGCAGGTTGTGGACTGAAACAGAAAAAGGGTTGCCTTTGAGGTTGGACACGACACCATCACTCGACGCACTTAGGATATCATACGACTTCTCATCACGGTTATCTTTCTTTCCAAAACTTCCGGCAGGGGTGACCCCTTGTTCTGGTGAGGGTTCCGCATCAGCTAGATCTGTCCTAGCCGTTAGACAAAGTCCCATTATAGAAGCTGGAGCCAGAAGGCGATGATCACAAGCATATAGTTCAGTCCTTTTTGCTGTGGAATGGCAAAGAAAGCTTGTGTGGGGCAGTCATACTTGAATGCACGATGACGCCGAGTCAAATGAGTGAGCTTCTGACAGTACTTTCGTGATGGTGCTGGATGATGGGAGAGGAAACTGGTGGGAAGTGGTTGACAAGAGGAATCTCACCGTGTACTACTCTATCCACACCCATCCCGACCACGTGACGAAGGCAGCGCAATCGTGGTTCCCACAAAACTACAAAATAATATCTCAGATGAAGCAGAATTGACTTGTGAATTCAGGGAGATATATACAAACAAAGTGCTGCACATCTTGCCCGCATATCGTGTAATTGAGATAGAAGGGCGGACTTTTGGAGCAGCGCCAATTTCCCCATGAGGAGTAGCCCTATTGCCGCATGGAATGTGGACAGCCAAAAATAGCTAGATTCCATATTTCATAGTGGGCTGTTCGTGGTAGACGATCTTCTGCCACTCTAAATAATGACTGACTACAGTAGTACTGAACTCTTGATCGATGGCTGGCTTCCTACAGGGAGGCGCTCATTCCTGCTGACGATCGATTACCTGGTCAAGTAACTCGGTACTCCGGGACGGGCAAAAGGTGATCGCCGATCAAGATACAGGACAAAAATCTCCGCACTCCAGCAGCAGGTCGAGAGGCTTTTATTTTTAATCTTAATGGATCATCAACGGTCCTGCATCTGATCGTCTAGCTCTAGACTTAGTGTTCAGAGGATGGGTGCATAAGATCAGATGCATTTCAAAGCTTGCGCCACACACAGCGCTTGTCTCAGTTCTACCTAATCGCTAACATAATCACTCTCATCATCGTAGTAGTCGCCATACTGCCCTGCAAAGGCAGCATCGACACCGTCCGGGTCCTCCTCATAGTCATCCTCCTCGTCGTAGTCGTCCATTTCTTCGTCCGGAATCTTTTCTGCCTCAGGTGCTGGTCCGAGCACCTCCTCATTGGTATGTGCGCGGTCAACTTTGCCAACCTGTACTCCCGGGTGGTGAAGGGGTTTCTCCCCTGGAAATTGTGCGGGCCTCTGAGGGGCAGCGGGGGAGGCGGCAGGCTTGGCAGTTGCCAGTGACATCGCCCGCGGTTCCACACTGGCACTGCGGCGTGAAGCCACACTCTGGCTTCGACTCCGGCTCCTGCTCATACTCTCCGCCTTGGCCTTGGCAGCCTCGTCGGCCCCTTCATCGCCGAACAATGACTCCAAAAGGCGATAGTTGATCTTCTTACTAAACCCTCTGCGTTCGAGCATGCGACGAGTTGCTTCGGCGGGAGTAGATGCCCTGGTGCTTCTGCCATCCGCATCCTCCCCGTCCCCTTCAAGGTAGGTGACGTCTCCCAGCCTGCCCCTTCGGCGTTTACGAGGCTTACGCATTCCTGGCTGGGAGTCTGCCTCCGCCAGGGCTCGTTTCAAGGCCTTGGCTTGTTGTGTCCGCAAGTAGTCCTTGTTCTCGTGCACCCAAATCCGTTCTTTGATTTCAACTTCGGCTGGAGATAGAAGACAGTTAGCGACCTCAGGATCATCTTCGAATTCGGAGGCGTCAATTTCTGCTCGGTCAGAAACTTTGTTCTCTTGCTCCTGGCCCGAAGCCACACTCTCAATCATGTTAGAGCCTTTCGACAAGAGAGCCGTCATCTCATTTTCAAGGGCTTCCTCCGATGCAATCTGATCAGGGGTTGGCGGCGGCAGCTTTGTTCGTTTGGGCGCCGCGGGGCGTGCCGATTTTGCTATTGCCGCTTCTTCTCCAACTTCCGATACAATCTCGTTGAGCACAGAGGTTACTGACGCTCGCCGTCGGCCACTGTCCGCCGTGGTCAGCGCCGGGTCAATTGGGAGACTAGGAATAGCGAAGCCATCAGCATCAAGACGCCTTGGCTCAGCAGGAGTCGCGTCCTGCATGTCACCCTCGATCTCAGCAGCGGTGTCCGACGCCTTTCTTTTTATGCTTCGTGATGGCTTTCTTCCCTCTCTGGCCCTGGTAAAGGAAGGGGGATCATGTGCATTCTCCAGCTGCACAGAGCGAAACTGATCGACAGTAAGCTCAGCGCTCTCCGTTGAGCTAAATTCATTCAAACGCTGGTTAATGGTGATCTCGGTGACTTTCACTACATAAACGACCTCACGAACGGTTCGACGAAAATTGTTCATTCGAGCTGCAAGGATCAAAGCAGCGCCACAAATACCGGCCGGACGTCGACCGGTAGTCATCCAATCACGGTTCATTCGCTGAACAATGCGCACCGCCTCGCTGGCAACTTGCATCGTCGCAGTCCCAAATTCGAGTTGCTTGGCGAACCGATAGATCAAACTCTCTGGATCAATCGGATTCATCAAAAAGACATTACCGCCAAGACGTAGTTCATCTAGTAGGGCCTTGTATGTTCGACCAAGTTTGAATACATTGACCTGAACAGGGTTAGCGAGTGTACGGACCCAGAGCCTGATTGCCGTAAATGACTTACCATCAATACGTCAGCAAAATCAATAAGCATGACAGTGTTCCCATCTTGTCGTCGACAGGCGATATACAGACAGACAGCTGCAACCGTCTTCGTCCGACGACCTTGGATGAAGTTTAAGCCGACAGCGAGCTTGAAAACCTGACCAGCGGCTTTCATGGCACTCTCCGGGATGTTCAGAGCACGACTTAGTTGGTTTATATAACGAGTTCCTTGCCAAAGTCAGCACGAGCTAGTCGAAAAATAAGGGGCAAGGAATACCATACCGTTTTGTTCTGTAATTTCTCGACTCTCCATAGCACCTCCTCGTTGAAAGCCTGGTCCATAGCTGCGGACGTGGGTTTGGTCTTCACCGACGAATGTTCCTTGAACGACCGCTGCACCCGATGATGTTTCACCAAAAGTGACTTCGGAGACGATATTTGCCTCACTAATGACAGTACCACAGCCCGAGCAAACCTTCTGACCGTCATCCTCCACGATATGAGGAGCTGGACATCCAGGATTGGGACATGTAGTGGTCTTAGGATGGGTAGTAGGCCTGGCGGCCTGGGGGCGTGCGATTGGTTGAGGCCGTTTAATCGGCGTCGGAGTAGGAGCCTTGAGGCTTGCCAAACGGCCTACCGGCGGAGCTCTCGGACCACTCCTAGGGGTCATGGAGGGACGCATGTTAGGTCTAAAGGCAGACATGATGCACAACGTGGTGCTCTCGGAGGAGAGGCTGAGTTGGAATTTGACCAAATAACCTTAGGCTGGAGGGTCTACCTCAGATAGGCGGGGCGTTGAGCATAACGGACAAGGGTTTACGAAGAAGCAAACAAAGTGCTATAGACCAGTCCTTGACAGTAAGAGTACAACAATTGCGCTCTGAACCTGATATAACGGTGTCGTTGAGTGGACCAATCACGAAAAGGAGGGCCGAGTCTTGACTTCCAAAAAGGGAAAATTAGTGGGCTGGGAGAAGGAAAAATGTCCAGGAGAAGCGGAAGGAGACGAGTGAGCACTCTTGAGGCCGACCAGAATAAATGACGATTTTATAGGGAATATTTTGAAATTATCAGACGAAAGAGCAAGAGCCACCAGTCGTAACGCCCCTGTAACAAATGAAGAATAAGGACGAAGGAAGTCTCGATGGCGGGTGAAGACGAAGAAGAAGGATGAGAAGAACAAGAGATTTGCTGGGGGCGACTTTGCACGCTTCAAAATTTGTCCGGATCAGTCACGGTGGCCCAGTGGGATTGTCACGTGAGGGAGTTGCCTCATGGAGCGGCGGTTCGATTCTCGGGGAGAGAACATTTTATAGAATCAATTGAGGGCAGTATAAGCAGTCGGTTCCAGTTTAACAGGAACAGACCTTATCATTTCATTTTAACTGTGATCCATTACTTTTTCTAACCTCCGGAACCTCAAGTCTGTACTTCACTGACAAAGAAGAGATCGATCTCACTTTACAGACTCGATATGAAGACTATGACGGCCTATACTCCGCACCTTAGTCTATTATCACCGTCGGCTCATTTTCCTTGCAAGATTGTCGAATGCATATTGTAGGTTATCATACGAAGTACGGAGTATACCAGATCTAATCACCATCAGATTAGCTTGTCGCTAGAAGTGGTTCCTCCCCGGGATTCAATGGATGTTCGCCACTCGGTTCTACTCCGTTGGTTCCGTTCCGTCACCAGTGATTAACATCACAACTGCAACGGTGTTCACGAGATAGCCTTTCAAAGCTAATGAAACACCATCACATGTGTTTGGCTGGGACTCTTGCATTCCAGGGGAATCATGGGACTGCCGTTACCTTGCGCTGTGGTACGCCATTGAATCATATGTGGGCCTTCCGTTGTGATGCGAGATTTGTGCGTGGTTTAGTGTATCTTGCAGATCCACACTTTGGAGCTTCAGGATGAACTACGCATAAAAGTCGCATTTTCGCCTCGTTTCGACTGCATTCATCTGCGTCAAATCTTACTTTTAATGATGAAGAATCTGTATTTCAAATGACTCCTAGATAGTCATTTGTCATCAGTTGCACTTCAAAAAGCATGCGATTCCCTGTTCCCGCTGCTGCACTTATGTATCATTCATGCTCTTTTCTTTCACACTGCATACTCTCATCGTCCTTGACAAGACACACAGCTTGCACAAGATCTGTCAGAACTGCAATTGCATAAAAAGAAATACTGGCTGATTGGTGTTGCCTTTACCCGACTTGCCATTGTCCATCTGGGGCAGCCTAACCGTAACCAACCTGGGTTATCGCCTTCAGACAGATTTTCTTTCTGCGAGTCCTTTTCGCATTTGCTGAGTTGAGCATACATCTTTCTCTGAATTTGAGACCGATAACCATGCCTACGGAAAAGAGGACTCTTCCAGCTTCATCCCCTGTAGCATCGGATGCACGTTACCTCACAAGCTTGGTTTTCGTTAGCAATGTGCATTGCTCTTCGTGCGTCGCGTACATCACGGAGGTTCTCTCAGAAGAATCAGGGGTCGAAAACATCTCAGTTTCTATCTTGACGCATGAAGTTCGCGTGCTGCACAGCTTAGACTCGAAGCCAGCAGACTTAGCCAGGGCCCTCATTCGAGCAGCCTTCGAAGTCCATCATGTTACTACATACGATCATGAC